TGCCAAGAAAAAGTGGCACACTCGGTGATGTGGCCCGCTCGGTGATGGAATACGTTAGATCAATACGTAGTATGTTAATCTTTTTTTTTGGCTTGGACGAAAAAAAAAGGAGACATAACCTTTTTTTTCCCTTTTGCGCATATTGATTAGTTAGCATACAGCACTACTATCGAGTACTACCACTACAATCCATCAGCCTACACTGCATAGGGAGTTCTTAGTGTTTGCCGGCTATTGCCCAAGGTAAAACATAGGCTGGTGCATCCATCACATGGGCTCCTCTTACATTACACATTCGTCACGTCACCCAAGTCAAGACAAGAAAAAACGAACGAGTCGGATATGAAGGAATGACTGGTGGCGACATGTGTATGAATGCTTGCTTACGTCTACACCTACACCTATGCCTACACCGTAGTTTGGTGCGGAGAAAGGGGGGGGGTGGAGGGGCTGAGCATCAGAGACCAGTCCAGCCAGCCAGCCAGCCAGCCAGCCAGCAAGCAAGCAAGCAAGCAAATGCAAGTATTGGCGAGAACGTCCAAATGGCTTGTTTCTAGAATGCTTCGAGAAGATTGACATTTTTTTTGTCGCCACTTTACTTTGCTCTCCTAGGCCATGCATGTGCTGCTGTGTCACGTTGGCTGCATGTGGGCGGTCTGGACGCCGCTACAAGATGCAAGAGACTGATACAGAAACGTAACAAAAGAGGGGTAAGAGAGGGGGGGGCAACACAGTGTGCAGTGTGCATGCTATGTGGGGACCATGATGACATTATCGTTCGTGCGTGAGGTGATGGAACTGGAAACACTGCTCATACTTTGATCGTGCGTGCATGTTCGTTGCGTGACATGTTGCAAAGCGTTCGTCCTTGACACCGAGTTTTGCACACGACTCTTGTGTGGAGAACGACTAGATTGGGGCACGACGAGAGAGAAGTAAACAAGGCGGTTAAAGGGAGCAGGGGGGGTAGGGCGAGATGGATTGGAGTAATAACCTTGGTACGCATTTCGTCACTGAGCATTCCACCTCATGGTGGATGGGAGAAACAATGTCCGCCGCGCACATCAGTCTGTCGGTACAGGAGCATCGAGAGACAGAGAGAAAGAGAAGAGGAGAAAAAAAAAAGGCGCGTCAAAAACCAAAGCAGAGCTACGGCTTGTACTCCGCGGAGGGGTAAAGGGAGCCAAAAGCGTGGGTCGTGACCTTCTAGTTCGCAGGTGCTAACGAAGGGAAAAGGCCAAGACAATGTCTCATTTGCGTCCCCCCCTCGACAAATCAAATCACGTCAAATCCTGAGGCATATAGACCTACACCCACACATCTCCTGGCCTGACTCAATCGCGGGTCCAAGGCCGTCTCCAAGGCGCATCTTTTTTTTGGCCTCCACCTCTTCGCAAATCAAGCTTCTTGCTTGCGGGAGTTACCGTCACACGGCGTGTCTTGGGGGTGTTGCACCAGCGCGCATTGCGTGCGACTTTGATTGCCCCGTCCCATTGTCAAGCTAGCATGCGCCGTCCTGGCACCTTACCACGGCGGACAGGTTGTAGATCGCTAACCCGCCTTTGCTGTTGTTGCCGAAGAAAATACAAGTAAAAGCCTGTGGCTGTGAGGGCGAGGGAGGGGGGGGAGACCGCGACTCATGTGCCGAACTGTGGGAACCTCAACGGATGGCTGAGGCGAGCGGGAATAAGAGAGGCGGGAAGGACATGGACGGTGGAAACGTGTGACTGGGCGGTTTGTGCTGTTACATGGTCAGGAAATTGTGGGTATCATGACGTTGGAGTTGAGCCTTTTGGCTGGGGGGCTCGTGGCGATATGTATGCTGTGGTTGTGCAGGCCGGCCGTTGGGAGTTGGCATAGTTTGGTTGGTATTAATTGCCAATACACACATGCCTCGACGGTGCCACCAAATGCCGTACATGGATGCGTGTATTGTGGTGTTGCAGCACGCTAGGAAGATGCAAATGCCGATACATGGCGACTGGAACGGCGTCATGTTAGGGTGGCTGTTGTCGACTCTCCACGGTCAACTATACCCTCCATACTACCCTACCTACCTGCCTACAGACAGACAGACAGACGGACATGGCCATACTACCACGACCAGATGCAATATCACGCCATCACCATGACCCTTGAACGCATCCATCCATAGCATGCGCTGCCAACCATAGTCGCACTGTACCACGCTACCCCACTGCCCACCCGCCCGACTCGTGGCCAGTATTTTCTTTTTCTTTTTTTTGCCTCGCCCCAACCGCCAGTCTCCTCACCTCAAACAAATCATGCCTGACCACTCGGTCCCCAAACGCATCCACAAGCCGCGTATACCCCACCCCGACCTACCGCTTGCTGCCCAGACGGTGCCGTTTCACAAGTGCCATTGCACCGACGAGCCAAGCACTTCTAGGTCGTCTGTTCCGTCGTTGCGGGAGCAAGGGTATGTAAGGACGTGTACGTGGGGTATGTGCTGGACGAGGCGGTGCGCCTACGGATGGTGTGAATCCCGAAACGTGCCACGGCGGATGAGGTGGAGCCTGTGTCTATGTAGTGTGTGCATGTGCTTGGAACACACGCCGGGGAGCCGTCATACCGGACACAGACCATGTTATATCTTGATATGTTAATAGCAATATGTGATAAATTTACTCGTGGTCGACTATGTACAGCAACCAACGCCAAAAGAAAAGACACCAACCATGGTGCAAGGTGCATAAAGGAAATAGAAGACACCCTCGAGGGGGGGGGCGACATGGTGATGATTCAAGCAATATCATCTTTCTTTGGCGGCTCATGGCAAGACAAAGCAAGCAATGGGAAGAGCGTCGACAAGTTTGCGGCCAGCGCGCTCCCATCCGAGACACAACGCCATGGCTACAATGTTGCCCTTGTCGTCGTGTGCCGCCTTTGGCTGCTCCTGGGCCCGTCCCCCCCCCATCCTCCGTCATAATGGGCTCCTGCGCGCGCACATACACACATAGACGGCACGCACGGCCATGTTGCCCTCCCTTGTTGCTCCCTCTCCCCCCTCCCCCTCCCCATTTCCCACAAAAAGCTAGGACTACACGGAGATTTCAACCCACGTACCCGTGGTACCGGACAGTTGCGAGGCGAAGCGAGGTCCCGTATACGAAAGGGGGGGGGTGAGAGCGTGGGCGCGAGAAGATATGGGCAAGGCAGCCGGCATGGGTTGGTAACAAGATACGAAAGGAGCGCACTGGTAACTTGGCCTGACTCGCGGCGAATGGGTGCGCACGCGAGCGCCAGAGGGGAGAACAAAAGAGGAAAAAGACGGGTCTTTATCGGTGTGACATATGCTCGTTTTCTACCGATGGACATGAGAGAGAAAGAGGAACGGGGGCCGCGGAGTCCATGGGCGAGGGTAGGCCTAGACGTCCATGTACTGTATGTAGTAGCATATACATACTTGGTACCAGATATGAACGTTACCGTGTGAATAAGCAGACTCCATGACCACCATCTCATCCACCAACGTCTCGTAAAATCTACACCAACATGTCCACAGCACCATTACTTGGTGTATACCGCCAGTCAAGCCTGCCCTTGTCGAGGACCATTTTCGTCCGGAAACCACTTGCACTGACAACAAAAACTACCGTCCATCCCTTTGATACCACGACCAACACGCCGGATCCTCCTCCCTTCCCGTAACTCCACAAAACAAAAAAAAAGAAGAAGTGCAAGTGCAAGTGTCCCCAACCCCAGGTCCCCGAAACAACGGGTCATTGGGTGCCACGACGGCGACTTGTCTGGACGCACGAACCCTCGTTTTCTTGTCCTTCGCTCCATGGTATTTCCTTCATCCCTTGGTCAAGGGCGCGAACGGCGAGACCGAGACCACGGGGTTGGATAAGGCAAAGGGGACAGTGCTGTTGGGTGCTTGTGTAGCGCGGCACAGGTAGCGCAAGGGGGCGGAGGAGGGGAAGAGAGGGAAAAATAAAAAAGGGCTTGTGCTTGTGCTGCGTCGTGGTCAAGAACAGACGTCGCTATGTGCGCTATAACCCGCCCGGCCTGAAAGCCCATGGTTACACTGCTATGCAACTGCGAACATGTGCGGTAGCCACGCTGCCTTTGATTGGCAACGCCTCGTTGCCTCTTCATGTGTCCCAGTGTGGTCAAATCATCATAGCACGCCAGTAAGTAGTGTCGTATACTTGGCCCAAAGCGACTAAAACGGCCGACTAGACAATACTTTCATCAAAGAAATGAGCGACTCGGACGGCCGAAGATGCTTGGATACGTCGTTGGCCACCAACGTGGTATAGTCATGATTTGTGAGCGCTTTCATGCGCTATTGGTATCTGAAGTTCCATTCCCACCTCGACCTCTCCCCGTCGTCATGCTTATGAACACACGAAACAAAAAACGCCCCCTTTCCTTTGCCTGAAGTCCACCATCTAAAGAGGATCCCCCCGGATATACGCTGAGGGACAAGAAGTTAAAAAATAGCCGTAATGATACACGTGAAAAAGTCAAAGTCATACCCAAATTCGTTCGTGATATGCTCTTGGAAAAAAAATATGAAATCAAACGCCCCAGTAATCCTGACCACCAACATGGGATATAGAGGTGGGTGGGTTGTAAGTGACCAGGAATTCAACGCCCGTCAAATGTCTAGTCGTGGAGATTTGGAAATGGGGAATGCCGAAAAACAACCTCGCCGGGTCGTGGAGCCAGTTGCGCCTTCGCATGCCGAGGACAGCTGAGAGAGGAAAAGGGATGACGCCGTTGGACATGCAGTCCAGAATGCATAATTCAAATGATACAAGTCGCTCTGATTGCATCGTCGTAATCGTGTGCTTTTGAAGAGAAATGATGGTTGGGTGTGTGTATGTGTAGTAGTAGTAGTAGTAGTAGTAGTGGTGGTGATGGTGGTGTTTCAGAAGAGACCTCCCTCGACAACGCCTGGCTCGTCGTCTCGGAGCTGGCCACCGCTCTTCTTCCTAGGCCATAGCTTGCTGCTGACTCGCTTCCAGCTATCCCTGGTAGCACTGGCGAGACCGTTGTGCTCTCCGCGGCTGTTGCGAGGGCTGGGCGTGCCACTCGATGGAGCATGGTCGTAGTAGGCGTGGTGGAAGTCAGTCATGGGGTATTCGCTGACTGGAGGGGTACCGGGGGGCGTCAATGGATCGCTCATGCCCGAGGGACTGCTAGCGCTGCCCGAGTCATCGGTCAATGCGTCGCTACCACTGGCATAGCCCGACGTGATGCGCGTGGCCGAGTGTGGGCCGGACGAGGTAGGTTGCGAGTGGAATCGCGAGTGGGAAAACGGACGGGACTGCATGAAGCCAGACGTGAGCGACGAGGGCGCCGATGCTCGCTGGTGAGCAGGCACGGGTGGATGCGAAGCGCGCGAGAACATGCTGCGCTCCTCGTAGCTGCGCGTCGAAGAGCGAGAAATATTGCTTCCAGCGTAGCTGTCATGGCTGACACTGGGATGCGCACTGTGGGGGCTGACTGAGTTGAGGAAGGATACCAAGACGCTCTCTTCCATGAGTTCGTTGATCTTGGCGACGGCACTATCGAGCGACGACGGGTGCGGTGGGACATACGAGTCGGAGAGGCTGAGCAGGTTGTCGCGGACCTCGGCTGGGAGGTTGACCTGGTGGTGGTGTTAGTGGGAGCACATTGGGGTGGGTCATGGCTATTGGCTGCTTACTTCTCGCGGGCCTGACTCGCGAATGTAGGCATCGATCAAGCGACGCCAGAGCATCAGGACGTATGCGCACTCGTCGGACAAGGGCGAGATGGGGCTGCCGGGATGGCGGCTGACCATCTTGGAGTAGTGCTTGCGATACCTCGAGGCGTCCATGGTGAATTCGAGGTTCTCGAGGCAGTGGTTCTGGGAGAGAAAGGCCATGAAGGACGTCAGCGTGTAGGGCGGGGGCGCCGTGTTGTTGAGGATCTCGGCCAGGTTGGGTTTCCGGCATTGGGGGCTGGGGATGTTCTTGGGTATGGAGACGGTCAAGGGAGCGGGCTGATGGTGGTGGTGGTAGTCGGTCAAAGTCATGTTGGAGTCGCGGTCGTCGAAGTCTGCGTGGGACTGTGTGGGTGAATTGGAGGCGGTGGACGAGGTTCTGATGGAGAGAGCTTGGGAGCCGTGTTTCCGGGTGACCATGACGCTTTTCCAGAGATGCTTGTAGGCGCGGCGGGCGTTTGTCCTACTCTGTTGGTCGAAGCCTTCGCAGGGACAGAGCTGCACTTGTTGGGCCAGCTTGACGGCGGGCGGCACGAGGTTCGGGAAGCGAACCTAGTGTCAATGGGCCAGTGGGGGGGCAGCGGAGTTAATAGGATGGCGACGGCAGCAGCATCGAGGGCTGTGCAGGCGGGCGGGCAGACAGGCAGGTGGGTAGGCGAGCGGCGGGGGGGAGGATGCTTCTATAGCGGCTTCTCGAAGGGCGACACGGCGGCGGCGGCTAGTGTGGGTGGATGGTGGTGGTGGGTATGTGGGTGGTTGCACAGGGTGGTGTGAGGGTGGGTGTGAGTGTGTGAGTGTGTGAAAGTGTGTGTGTGTGTGTGTAAGTGGGCGAGGGAGTGTAGGTGTAGTAAGTAGTAGTGGTGGTAGTGGTAGTGGTGAAGCAGAGGGCGAGAGTCGTCGCCGGGCGGGTGGGTGGGTCGGTGGGCTGTGACAAGAGGGCGTGGTGAGACAGGAAGGCCGATATGCGTCAGGACGTAGACGTGGGTAGGGGACAGGTGCGGCTCAGCGTGGTTTTGAGCAAGCGCCGTCGAGAGTCAGGGAGGCCCGTCTTGGGTCCATGCTTGGGCAGAAAGCTCAGTCAGAGCGCACACGCCATGTCCCCACCCAGCGGTTTGGCCATCACGGAGCATGAGGGCATCATGGCGACAAGGCCTGGCGACATGGCCGACATGGCTCCCCGACTAAAAGCGGCCACGCGCAACCTTGGCCTAGTCGGTCGCTGGCGTCTTCCAGAAGACGCATGGCCCTCCCTCCCATCCTGGCCCGAAACTGCGCGCGCCCACACCCCCCCCATGGCCGCCCCCCCCTGCTGCGCGCCCACTGGTTGTGTTCCACCTTTTGCCACGTCCGATGCTGGTGCTGGTGCTGCGCTGCCGGTGCTGGTGCTGATGCCGGTGCTGATGGTGATGAAGAAGAAGAAGAAGAAGATGATGATGATGATGATGATGATGAAAAAGGAGACGAAGACGAAGGATGCGGAGGTGGAGGAAGTGGTGGAGGTGAGGAAGAACAAGAAGACTGGGCCACGCCCTGTCCTCCGCGGCTTCCTTGCTCAGGGCGCCGTTGCACCTGCTCCTGCTGCTGCTGCTCCCACTCCTGCATCGCTCCTGCCTCGACTGCTCTGCTGCTGCCCTGCTGCTGCCCCATCCAACGCCCTCGCCTCGCCTCGCCTCACCCTCGTCCCTTCTCTCGTCTCTCTCTTCTTCTGTCGCCCCCTCGCGTCTCTCGTCTCTCCCCCTCCCCAGCCCCAGCCAGCCCAGTCCCGTGACCAGCCCAGTCCAGCCCGCCCTAGAGCGTCAAGCGTGACCACCATCACCACCACCATTACCACTACCTCTGCTACTACTACGGCTACCACCACCACCACTACTCGCAGCGCGCAAAAAAGAAAAGAAAGAAACTCGCTCGCCGGCTGCGCTACCACTACCGGCCACGACTGCCACGACTGCTACTGCTGCCACTGCCCTCTGTCGCGCTGCGCTGAGGTGTGCTGCTTCCGACGGCATCGTCGGCAGCCTGAGACCTAGCAGCAGTAGCAGCACTGCAGGCCAGCACGGTTGTTGTTGTTATCTCACTCACGCCCACAGCCCTTTCCATTCCCATCTAGTTTCCGACCCCGGCACGCTATCTGCCTAGCTGTACGCATAGATTGCCCCCCCCCCCCTCGCAGCCTTGTGCGCGCCGGCTGCTGTCATGCCTCTCGCCGTGCCCTTTCGCCGTCCCTCGCTCTGTCTCACACTCTGTTTCTCAGTGCCCACGCCGGGCGCGCCGCCTTTTTTGGCGCTCGCAAACCCGCGCGCTTGCTCGGTCCGTTTCTTTTCTTCTGTGCGTCAGAAAAGAAACACCCCCACTTGCATTCGTTCCTTTTTCTGCACTTGGTGGTCGCTCGCTGTTGCGCGTCGACGCGGCTGCCGGCTGCTACGGGGGGCCAGGAGTCGACAGACGGGCGCGGGGGCGCAGAGGCGCACACACAGCGATAGAATGCGTGGGTAAGAGGGTAGGTAGTGGGCACATGGACGGTACAAGTAGATTTGTAGATGGGCCGGCGATGGAGAGGCAAGGCGCGAGACAGGGAGCAACAACAAGAGGCCTGAGGCGTCTGCGGTGGCGGCAAAACGACGGCCGCAGCCCGACTGGAGACTAGGCGCAGGCTATGACTCTCTGCCACGGCAAGGGAAGGAAGGTACATCGACGGGCGCCCGATCTGGCGCCGTGATGCGCTTTTGTGCTTTGTCCTGGGGCCACGAGCCACGGACGCGGTGCCACCACCACTGAGCCCGCCGACCCGTGTCTGCCACGACGACGCCCTCGCCCTCGCCCTCAGCTCGCCGCACACTCGCACTCGCACCCGCACACGGCCTCGCCCGCCCACGCAACAGCACAGCACAGCACAGCACAGCACAGCACAGCACAGCACAGCACAGCACTCACGCCCACGCCCTCGCCCACGCCCACGCCCAGGCGAGCGGGCCGTGCACGGCCACAGGCTTGGCTTTGGCCCTATGCCTGGGGACAAAGGCGGCTTTGGGCCCACGGGCACAGCGTGGAGGCGTCTCCGTTTGGCCACAAATACCTGACACAAGACCAAGACAAGCACCCTCAGCCATCCACCGTCCACCGTCCACCATCCGCCATCCGCCATCCACCATCCATGATCCACTCGACGTGGGCCGCCGTCATGTTGCAAACACCCACACGCACACACGCTACGCCATCCTCGCGGGCCCGAGGTGGCGCCTAAATGCGTCAACTACGCGCGCCTGAGCCTGACGACGACTGTTATTCACGCATCCACGCCCGCGCCGGGGAGACAGCCACTGCGTCTGCCTGCTGTCTACGTACCTACCTGCCTCCGTCCGGTCCGATTTTGCGTTGCGCTGGCATGCTGCTACGACCGGCTGCTACCATTGCACACACACACACACACACACACACACATGACCCCTGCTGCTCACTCATACGCACTCCCCCTCCCCCCGTGCCATCCAAGAAACCTTCCAGAACGATTGCCCACTTCTAGAAGGCTGCCTGAAGCCGCCTAGGGCTGCCAGACCGGCCTTGCCTGTCGATCGCTCCATCGCCCATCGCCCATCGTCCGCCGTCCAGGCTGCATGCCTGCCATCGCTCTCTTGTCTGCGCACAAGCACAAGCCTCGACATGCGCGCCGCTGCCTCACATGTTGTTGAGAAAAGCCCTTCGGCCCATTCCCAAGTGCCGCTGCCCGCCAGCCTGCCTTTGTTGCGCCCTCCCGTTGTGCAGCCTCCGACAATAGCCGGCCCACGACAACGACTCAGCGAGCACGTCCACACCCGCCCTCAACCATAATCCACACAGCACCGAAAATTTTCGTGCCAGTGCTCTCGTCCGCTACCTCACCACCACCCCATGACGCAACCGCTGCATCGCAAAAAAAAAAACTTACTTTTGTGATTCTCGTCTGATTCTCTTCTCTTCCCTCCGCTTCTCTTCTCTCTCTCTCCTTCACCGCCTCATGGCCTTTTTTTTTCCTAGCCTTGCATCCCACGTCGGTTCGAGCATCACGGATGAAACCCAATGGCGGACTTGGCATCCACATGCACCCTGCCGCCTCAGAATTGTACGCTATTACATACATGTTCGAGCCCAAGGTCGGCACCGCTCACCCACTGCGTGCATGTCGTGGCGTCCCTCCCTGAAGATGCACACCACGGCCGTTCGTTTGCTCGGTAGGAGCCTCAACGACCACGTTCGCGGCAAAAGCAATTTATGACCTCGTTCCCAATGTCGGCATAAACACGCGTTGCATAGGACAATATCGGCGGTGAGTGGTTATCGAGGTTGCATTGCATTGTATTACAGCAAGCAGCCCATAAACAAGAGGCCGTCCAACTACATCCTACACACAGCATAAACTGCCCGCACTACGCGCCAGGATGGAGAGCTTGGACGCCAAATACTTCAATGTCACGGAACCGCCGACCGCCGACCGGGCAAAAGGCCAGGTATACATGAAACTTGCCCAGCTGGATGGCTGACACCCATTTGTCCATGCACGCATGTTTGAGTCCGCCCGCCATGGCAAAGAGAAAGAAGGACCAGAAGCAAAGAAACAGGCAATGATATGCTGCCGGCAATCAAACAGCTTCAAACATAGCCGTGCTAACATACGTACGTCTAGACACAGATGCTGGTTGTAGATCCCATGCGCCCGTCATGAGTCCAGGCTCCATCCAGCCCGACTGCGTATGTGTGTGTGTGTGTGTGAGATGATGATGATGATGATGATGACGATATGGTACCCGAGCGACGTTTTGACTTGGATCCCGCGACGGCCTGTAACACGCCTGGTGGACCGCTCGGGCTACTAGTCCTCCCCGAACATGAATCTGGTGGGCATCTTCCCTGTTGCCGTTGCCATCGTTTGTTTCACGCCTGTTGGGCCAGAGCGACCAAAACCCACCTCCCATAAACTCGGCTTGCAACAACGGCTATGGTCCGGCATCGACTCCCCAGCTACGACACGTGCAGCCGCATACCGGCCTGAGTCTCCAAGGCTACGGCCTCAAAGTCCCACCCCTTGCTTTTCATGGCTTCCCCATACTTGTCAAACATGGTCCCCACCAACCCCAACGTCTCTCTGAGCTCAGCAACGAGATGAGCATGCCGATGCTGTGCCGCCCCTGCCGCTGCGCCATCCGGCTTACCCATCAAGCCTCTATCACGACGCCTTTGCCCTCTCTCCGCAACCAACAACGCGTGCGCCCAAGCTTTGAGCTGATCAATCGGTCCGCACCCTGCCTTGAGGACGATCAAGGCTTCATAAGCAGGTGAAGCGGGCCACAGAATATATCTCTCGGCCTGGAAGACGGATAGCAGATCGGACACATCGATGGCGTGCATAGCGACCGATCCGCTTTGCTGATGCCTCGGCCCTAGCTGCCCTAGCAGTTCGTCGAGAGATACGCCAATCCTACACCTGCCAAGCACTCGGCCATCTGCCCACCGCAGCACCCCGTCCCTCTCGAAAATGCGTTCGCGCGCCGAAACCTCGTTTGGGCTTAGCACTACGCCCTGCTGAAACAGATTGCTGAAGAGTATATTGGCTCGTTGCCGGTTCAGCACTTGCATGCTGACGGCTCGAACGGCCGCATAGTTTGTGCCCAGGTGCATGGATAAGAGGAACAGCAGAGTGCACCATGTTGCTCCAGGTGAGGTTATCTGACCTACGACAAAACTCCCAGCCTATTGGTAACCCGCCACTTATTAGTAATCAAACAACTTGCGGTCTGGACCGGCGTGGGAAGATGCTATACTTACCAGCATGCCCAGTAAGGATATAACGGTTTCTTGGCTCGAATCTTTCTATACGACAGTTGCGTTAGCTCTCCGCCCCTGGTTGACTGTCTTCCAACGACATGTCCTTCTTTCCTCTGCAAGGTTTGGCCTCCCCGCACAAGATCGACACACTCTCCAACCTTCTCCGCTTTCAAGCCCACCATGTCGTTATCGTCCAAGGCCCCACACCCGCTCTCTAGCTGAACTTGAGGTGGGGAGAAAGGGATAAAGGGGAGAGCGTCTATGTGGGTATGTGGGGAGCTGGGGGGAGCGCTGAAGAAACCCACCAAGTACGCCTGAACATGGCCCCATGTGATGGGAAGGGGGTGGCGGGGACAAGGGAAGTGACCAAAAAAAACAAAGGTTTGAAAAGAAAAAGAAACGAAGGAATGAGAAAATGGAAAAAAAAAGGGGCAAGATGACTACTCACCGCATTCACCTCCCCCAGATTCCCCCTCTTCGCAAAATGCGCACTCAGACTCGCCTTGGCGCTGCCCGCGCAGACGCCGCACAGCGCCCGCAAGCAGCTCGAGAAGCTCAGCACTGCAATGCGCGCTGCCTTTGGAAACACGGGCGACAGGCAGTCGAGCACCATGGCTGTGTCATTGAATATATCGGCCGCCAGCCGGTACATTTTGCATTCGGGCTCCAGGGCGGTGCCGAGTCGGTGTGCGAATAGAATGGTTGCGAGGCGTCCAGCTGAGTCGTGCACGACAGAGAGAAGGAGTGCAGTTGTGGGGCTCGCGCTGGAATCGCCCACGCCAACGCCTAGGGGGAGTCGGTGAGTGTCTAGTACGGGTGGGTTGGAGGGGTGAGGTCAAGGTCAAGTGGATAGTTGACATGGAACAAAAGTACATGTGACAGGATAGCATGACAGAAGAAGAAGAATACCGCGCTTACCTTGTAACACGGCTCTTGAAGCCAGCATTCCTGCAATGGAAGACGAAAAAGCCTGGAGTGAGTCCTATTATTGGTGTTGTTAGCAAGACTTGGCTCAACTGTTCTACTCTTGTGTAGTCTTTGTCATTGACAAGGGAGAAAAGGACAAGTAGTAAGGGTATGTAGTAGGAGAAACGAAAAGGTATAGTATGGAAGATGAACTCACAAATATCTGATACGCGACATAGTCCTCCGTCACGCTATGTGGGAAGCCAACGGGTAGAAATATATCCACGACGAGCTGTACATAGTTTTTCCTATGTTGGGGTGTCTGTACGAGAGAGATTGGTAAGTAGGTTAGTTGCCCGTTGTGTATACGTATGTCGGTACGAAGAGAAAAGAACGTGATGATGAATGGCGGTATGCATGTTGATTCCGTGTCCTCCTTTTCCTAAACAAACAAGATGCTTTTGAAGTACAAACGAACGAAAAGGGATGTAGCAAATGAGAAAAGTGAGCATGAACATGTCCAGGTAAACAACGCGGTACCATGTCGTGTGGCTCGCGTACCACACATCATGACGCCGCACGACGCCCCACCATGCAAAAGCACCCATCCACCGAGTTTTAAAAAGAGCGAAGATGAAGAAAGAGGGCAAACTATTTATGCCATCGAAACTACTACATGAGACACGGGGAAAGGACAGAGAGACAGACATGCCATGCGTTGTGGGGCATATTGGTTCCCCAACTCCCCACAAAGGACGACTGGCGGGAAACCATACATACGTCTTTGGCAAAACAGAAAAAGTAACAACGGAGCAAAGGATAAAAAAAACAGCAAAGCGTCGATGTTTCAAATTATCATGGGAGAAGGAAAGGAAAGGAAAAGGGCAAAACATACAATGATATCGATCCTGCTCTTGGTTTTGTCCGGATCCGCGTCTGTATCTTGCCGCGTCTTGTTGTCGCGTCGCCCGTCACCAGCTACGGAAACAACATATGTCCTCGCCAGATTCCCCGAATCATCGTACTCGGGTATCTCACGCGTCTGTAGCTGCTGCGCCATGGCCCAATACTGTTTGTTTGTCTGCACGTGTTGGTGGCGCTGGTAAGACCGAAGTATCGATAAGCAACCAAGAATGGATGGCTAAGCATCCAAGTACCGACCTACTCACTTACTTATCGATAAGCACCGGAATTGCGATAGCGATGATCCCGATAGCACTATCAATACCAAATATCAATCACAATTGACAATGACGATGATGACGACAACAGTAACGCGTCCAAAAAGCTGTGCCGTGTAACCTAGTGATATGTAGCCATAGTGGCACGCAAGGTATGTAAGTAAGCTCGTGTCAGAGAAAGCACCGACAGGATCGCCATCAGCCAATGGTCAGCTACTGACTAACTACTTAGCTACCATGTGCCCATCTACCCACCTTTTGCTTTGTCCCTGAGCGCTGCTGACTTGGCTTACCCGGTGGGCGGCGGCCGTAATCCGCTACTGCGTACAACAAACAACCCCATGGTAAACGTATCGACGATATAGGTGATGTACCACAAACCATGTACCATGTACATGACAAATCCTTACACCAGCAGCACAAAACGAAATCCACAACTTCACTCGATTATCTCACAATTCCCCCCCCCCCCCACACACACACAAACACATGCAAATTACATTTCCGTAATCATAACTAATCATTCCCGTAAAGCCTCGTCATCGGTTCGTAAGGCAAAAAGTTTATTTTCCAATCTAGTACTTTGGTTGATTAGCTCGATGCAGTCAGTTAGTCAGTCAGTCAGTCAGTGGCAGCACTCCGGCAGCCTGCTCCTTTTTTCTTTAATGTAACGGAACCAAACGGAAAGTACCATTGCTTGCATCATTTACGGGGTTAACCTTTTTCCTTTGCTTATGTCTAGTATCCGCGGGCAGCCGCAGCAGCAGCAGCAGTGATGGCTGGTACTAGTACAAGTCAGTAATTGCAGTTACAGTCCATCCAAAGGGCTGCCTCTCCGCAGCATACGAAAAGGGGGTGGGCGGCCGCAATCGACCGAGCGTGTGGCCGATCAGCCGCTGATGGGCTTATATCCGTGTGAATCTTTTTCGTATTCGTACTATACTACTTCATTTATCCAAGGTACAGTTGTATACTATCGCTTTGCTGTACCATACTACTTGTTTGGTTTTACGAGTGCGTCTGACGTTAAAGCAGCGAATTACACATATCGAACGTACACTAGTGCTATAGACAAGCAGTAGAGGTCCTATACCTACTATCATGACTCTGCAACCTTTTACTCCCCTCGCCACATAATGCTGGGCCCCTTTCTAAAGTTCGCAAGCCCAAAGCATCCATATCAATAGTAGATGCAGGATTTTTCTCTTTTCTCTTACGTTTCGCTACCACGTACGTACGTACGACAGGATTGTAGGATGAGTAATAAGCGATAGTGTCTGCGCTGCCTCAAGCACACATAATTCTTATCTAATAGCACCTCGTTACGAGGCACTTGGCCAGTTAACGTGCAGGCGTAGCGACGGGACGAGCTGAGATGGGCAGGTCGAATCGCATGTTGGCATGGTGGGGAGCTGAAGATGAGTTACTGCACTAGCAACTCCGCTATTTCCGCGGAGAGTATGCAAGAGATGTGAATAGAAATGAAGCAATGTGTTTGTAATCGTTAGGCAGAACTCCTGGGAATGGAAACAATTCGAGAGCTGAGAGTTAGCGGGTTCGGTATATACCGTGGCTAGCATGCGCAGTCTTCTGACAGTATCAGAATTTGCTCCACATGCTTGGTACAGTGGATTCGCACTTGAAAATCTTGTGAGCATGAGTAGGCAGAGATGCAGTGCGTGATGTAGTGTGGTACTGGTAATGAATTAACACGAGTGCTGGGGCAGTCAATATTCCTGCAGTCTGAGTGATCAGGTATTTCCTCTACGCTTCATGCATACTCTCATTTAGAAGATCCCATCTATCTCAACCACATGCTCGTTATTGTCTTACAAATGCCGTTTTCAGCGTCTAATTGAAATAGCAAGTGGAATTTATCTTAGACAGATAGCGAGCATTGAACCCCTTTATCCTAGAAATATCAAGATCACTACAATGCTCATCTGGAGACTGTGACATATCACAAGACAAAGTAGCTCTATGCCGAATCATCCACTTACATAACCTACATAGCGTAGCAATATGAGGAATCTAGCAGAATGACAAAGACTTTGACCTGCTATCAGTGAAGGACCAAGAATGGAGTACCAAAACACACCTCCTGAACAATTCACAATTTTCTGAAGTTCCTTAAGCACTTCTTCACCTAGCTAGATTTACAAATATCACCATGTTTATCCAACTACACCACGATACAGCCTGCTCCATCCGTCCATCCATCACTCCATCACCCCTTTTCTACTCCTTCTCCACTCCATTCCACCCAAATTCAAAATTAAAAGAGAAAACTAGTATCCATTCCTTACTCCCCGACAATCCTCCCATACACCATAGCATCCCACGCCCACCGACTCGCGCCCGCCCCCCTAAAACCAGAAACTCGTTTCGACTTCCCCTATACCACAACTGGTTGCCGCCACCCACCACCACCACCACCACGACGCCACAAGACTCGCTATCCAAGACCACCCAACACAAATGCAGCTTAAAGCCCTCACATCAAACGAGAAAAAACAAAAAGCTTAGACGGAGCCCACGACTTGTTTAGTTGCATACATACATAGATACGGCTAGGGCATTTTCCTTTCCCGCACCCCCACCAGCATTGTCCATGCACATGTTTCCCATGTTTTTAGCTCTCTCGCTCTCTTTTCTCGCTCCGCGGAAGCCACACACCAGCGCCAGCGCGCCCCTGCCGATATATACCCGTGCCCATGTGTAAGTATGTGTATGCTTGCCTATGCCCCTACCTCCGCGGAACCCTTGAAACGGCTAAACGCCCCTCCCCCAGAAGCGGCAGCGGAAACCCCCCCCCAGCCACAGCCCAGGTTTTATCTCGCATGGTCTAGAACGCAAAATGCCGCGCTGTGATTAGCTGTGCAGTGGTTTTCGGGGTGGGGAAGAGGAGAGAGCGAGGGAGTGGGTGGCGCGGGTCAGAGCATATGTGTATGTATGCACATATGTAGTGTGTGTGTGATGTGCGTGATTTCTAGGTTAGGGGGGGTCCACACAGTGCGTCCTTGGCATAATACTTACCCGCTGCCCGCGCTGCAGACTTATCTTTATTTTGACATCAGGTGGTGATGGGTTCTTTGGTACGGCATGGCTAAGCGAGCGAGGTGGTGAATACACGGCTGCATGTGTAGGTGCATAGGGGTAGTGGAGAAAAGGCTTTGTGTTTAAGTTTTCTTTTGCTTTTTCTGTGCGGTAACATGGGGTTGCTGAAAATTAGGATAGTGATAATATCATGGATGGATACGTGAATAGGGGAGGGGAGTTGGAAATGAAAACAGCCATGGTAATGATGTGAGATTTCTCAGTTACACATTCAAGTTTTCAATAGATGGAGTGGAAAAGCTATGCTAGAATATACATTTATAGATAGATAGAAAGAAAATGCCATGTCGCTTGCTTACTCTGTGAAGATAGCAGTAAATGGGCCGAGTAAAGATATGAGAAAACGACAGCTTGGGAATAAGATATGTATACTTTGTATTGCAATACATGTCCTATCTCGCTCTCTCCAATGATCACAACGGTACCATGCAATGGCACATTGTGAATAGGAGAGAGCAACAACAAGTCATGTCCGTCACCGGTACGGTCTGACAAGTTAACGACATGTGCCTATATGCATTGAAAGAAGAAGAAAAAATCACTCAATGCATCCATCCACCCATGCATCTGCTATACCACAGAGATACAGGACTAACTGCAGACATGATAGAGTAGGAAAAAAGACCATGTGCTTATTCCTTTTTTCTTGTCCAATTCTTGTCCCAACCCCTTCTTTTGCGACCCTTTTCCATATCCAAGTATAAACCTATGTAATTAAAAGATAGTATGCCGTACTAATACAACCTTGTAGCGAAGCGTTTACAAAGGAAAGATGGAGGAAGGAAGGACTAGGAGGAAGGAAATCGGATGGTGGGGGTGGCTGTGATGGTCTAGCAAAGACGCCGAACAAGCAAGTCGTTTTGTATGTATATCGTGTATAGAGATACCTGGGAGGCAGCCCAGCCCAGCCCAGTGCCTGATGGCTACAGCGTCTACGGCGTTTCTCGGGAGGGGATATATGCGTTTACCGGCATGACCTTGTAGGAAGCGCGGTAGGGTTCGTGATTCGTCTCGTCGGAAGATAGAGTAGGTGGATGTCTCGTCGGAAGAGGAAGAGGAGGGATGAAAATCTTAACGATAGGATTGCCGTGTTGTGCGTGGTGTTTTTCCTCGCCCCTCAACACCCAGGATGCAGATGGGAACCCAGAATGCCTCTTCCATCAAACGCCCAGTCATTCGTTTCAAAGATCAAGAACAACAGAAACAAAAAGAGAAACAGAGTCATGTCAAATACAAAAGCGTGTACGTAGATAAGTGTTTCTTTGAGAGTGTCTCAAAGTGCCATTGTCAGCGACTATAAACGGGCCTTTGAGTGTGTGTAACTCTCCTATGAAGTGAAAATAATATTGGGTATCCGTGTTCTTGAAACAAATGACAAGTTTTGTAAAAGAAAAAAAAAGGGCTTCGTCTTCCCTGTGTGTACGTGGGGAAGATAGGAAAGACGGGGAAGTGTAAGCAGCATAGCCTCATGAAGAGAAAAGCAATGAGGACGTATGCTACTACCATTGGCGCTTCCAGGAAGGAGAGGGGGAGTGGCAAGAGTCCTGTCGGGCGGGGTATATACCGAAGGCACGAAAACCGCCAGGCCGTTACTAAGAAAAAAAAAGGCCGATGGGTTCTTCTTCCGGGCCATACAAAATGCGATCCGTACTTGGCTAGCCTGGGATTTCCCGCCGACTCATGGTCGTGCGCCATGGGTTCCGGTAGTTTAGGCATCCTCGACGTCTTTTCTCCACGTCCCTGGTCTTCCGAACTTGACCTTGCCGCCCAGCCTCTCGACCTCTTCGACGGCCAGATCTCGCTGTCTTTCGAGCTCTTTTATGTAATCGATTGCTACGGCCAGGACCATGCTTTTGCTGGGCTTGACTCCGCCCGACTCTGAGGAATCGCTTTGGGGTAGCATGGGCACGGCCTTGCGTAGTCGCTCAAGTTCGGCGTTGAGCTTCTCTCTGTACTTGCGCTCGACTTCGGTATGGGGCATGCACTGTGTGCGTGCAGCCTTGACTGGACTGGCAGCAGAACCATCCGAGGCGGGGCGGTGCAGGCGGGGTCGGCCTCGCTTGCGTGGAGCAGGCTTCAGAGTGGCATCGTCGGGCAGGCTCGCCGTCACGGGCGAGGGAGAGGTGGGACTGCCATGGCTGGGCGTGGGAAGCGGGGAGGGAACCGAGTGAAAGCCGGCACTGTAGTCTGGGGGAATGTAGCCGTGCTGGAAGTCTCCCGAGGTGCTCAAGGGCGTAGGGACGCCCGTCTGCCACATGGTGAAGTGGTGATTGGGGGCTCCAGGTGCGGCTGTGCCGACTACGGACTGGGGGCTGACGAAGCCATTGGGCACCGGGGCGCTCCAGCCAGCAACGGTATCCACGGGTTTGCCAGGCCGGCTGAAGCATGGGCCGGCGGTGTTTGCGTCGAAGCCATTGGGGACATAGTCGGACAGCGAGGAATACGAATCTCTGTAGCAGGAAGCGTCGAGCTCGTCGGCCGAGGGGAACGTGTCGCTGTCCGGCGGCGAGTAGGTGGAGCTGGCGCGCGGAGGAGGATAGGCGGGCAGATTGGGTACGTCCATTGCAAAGGTCGGGGTCCTGGGAGCCAGCCGAGAGTCTGGTATTTGAGTCGTCTGGACGGAGAGCAGCGGAGGGCGGCGTCGACAATGTATCCTCGTTTAATACTAGAATATTCCCCGCACACCCTGCCGTCCAGCCCTGTCCTGTGAGGGCACATGCCAACACGTTGGGATCGAGAATTAGAGCTGCCATCGCCAAAACACCGCCGTGTGCATCGAACCATTGTCAGGGGCCGCGCACACACCGGCCTTTCCCAGTCCCAGTGCTCCAGAGATGAATACATCACCACGACGTAAGCTTGGCCGAGTGCCTGCTGTCTGGAATGTTCCCGAGGCGACGGGCAGTGCAGCGCACGCGTACCAGCACCAGCACCAGCACCGGCACCAGCACCAGGCAGCGAGTTGGTTTCAGCATTTGAGGCCGCGGGCAGCACGCCGTAAGGGCGTGTCTCATGGCGGGCCAGCTTGGTGTGTGGGACGTTTATGCAGCCACGCTACCCTAGGTGTGTACAGGAGCCGTCTGCACGCCCGTCAGGGCAGGCTGAAAATAAGGCTTGTGTGCATTGCGCCGCGGGGGGGGGGCGAGCAGCAACATGATGGGATCTGCGCCGGGGAGCAGGCGGGCGGGGGGAGGCCCAGCGGCGGCGGCAGCGACGGTGACGGTGATCGCTTGGGCGCGTTCTGGCATTTTCCCATGTGGTGCAGAGGGAGAGGATTTTTGTCCATGTTGGCCGAGTGCGGTTGTGGGCAAACGTCCATGGCGGGCAGCATGCCAAAGTGCCCGCGAGGGCCCGCGCGCCTCGCTTGGTGGGCTAGCGCGGGCCGGGATGCGTCGCCCGGCCCAATCAGCGCGCGCCGCCGCCGCGCCGGCGGCCGACAGGATCGGGTACAATTGCCGGGGCCTTGTGTGAGGTGCATGTGCCATGTGCAACACGCAGCCAGCACAGCGACACGACGACGCCCGCGAGCGAGCGCACGCGCAGAGAGTGTCGCCGATGCCGCGCCCGTCTTCCAGCAGCTTCCGTGCCCGTCCGGCGCGCCGCCTCATCTACACTACACACACGCCTGTCCGCTGTCTTCCGCCGCGCGCCCCGCCGCAAAGTCGCCGGCCATGCCTCGGGCCTACTCCTCAGCGCCGCAATCAAGACAAGACAAGACAAGACAAGACAAGACAAGACGACCCGCGAGCCAGCAAAGCCTGCCCCGAGCCAGCAAAGCCACCGGCATCCTGCCTCCTCGCCCGCCCGCGGAGATGCCGCCCCCAGCTTTCGACGGTTGCCCTCGACGCCATCTCGCCCTCGCCCTCGCCCTCGACCCGCCCTCGACCCGCCCTCGACCACAGTTCCACCCATCCGCCAGCGGGGAGGGGTAGGCAGCGCAAAGCAGCTCTCGCCGTGCTGTCGTCTGCACCCACAGCCTTTATATCCTCGTGCCAAGCCCCGGCGTCACGTCATATCACCGCACCTCTTCTCCAGCCATAGTATACTTACGTACGTCGTGCGACATGCCCGCCGGTCGGCCCTTTGAAGTCAGCACGTTCATAGTAGTATACGTACATCGCCACACATCTCACATGTGTGAAGGCAGCCTGGTAGTCGCTTCGTCTTAGCTTCCGCGGCTCCAGGTTCTGGTACCAGACTCGACGGCGTCGGGGAAGCGGCCACGCTGCTTTTTTTTCAGCTCTGGCTCGTCTTCGGCAACCCCCCTCCCTTCCCCAGACTTGGCAGGCACGTCTGCGTCTGCCGTGAGTGTACGTAAGCAGCCCTCCACGGCTGCTAGTCGCATGCACGAGAATGCAGAACATCGGCAAAAGAAAGGCAAAATAGCCACTTGGACAGCTGCAGCTAGTGTCCTGCTGTAAACCTCGTCGTGTGTCAAAACACTGCAGTAAGAAACGCCCCACCAGAGGCATTTGTCATTGTACTATGTTTGCCCACCCAGAGCATGCACCGAGCCCTGTCTAGGCCGAGCCCACCGCCCCTTCATCTGCATACCAAGAGAGTGATATCTGCTTGCGAATAAATGCCATACTCCGTAATCCGAAAACATCTGTGGCCAATCTGAATACCCGTCAACGCCGATACCCGTCCATCCGCCTGCCCCAACCGTTCCCAACCCTCTCCATAATGCACAGGATGCATCTATGCCTATAGTTTTCTTGTTCAAGTCATACACAAAAAGAAAAGAAAAAGAGAGAACAACGCGTCTACAGCGCCTTTTCCCCTGCCAATGCCACGGGAAAATCAAAGTCGGACACTGGCGCCAATCTTACCACCCTTGAACCACACATTCTCTCTCCACTCACCAATCCTGACGCCCACATACGCAAACGCACTCAGCTTAAGCTGTCCGCCAAGCGCCTTCTTGATCGCGTCGTAGCCGAGACTGCCAAACGACCAGTCCACCGGCAGGTGCGGCGATTCGGACAAGCCAGGAGGCACAGCAAACGGAAGGTCATATAGAATCTTACCAGCAGGGTGTCCGTCATGGTAGGCTGTTGCATTCATGTCCGTGATGTACAACGTCGTCGACCGGAATGGTGACGCAAGGGTAAAGACGGCCGTGCTGCTGAGGAGATGCATCGTTGTCCCACGGATAAAGTGCGATTTTCCGTCGTCTTCTGGGTCTTCGTCGCCATCGCCATCAGATGGCTTCTTGGGCGTCGACAAGTGTGGCATGGGGCGCTCAATAGGGAACCGCGAGAGCAGACGGCCAATGTAGGGTGCAGCTGGGACCGACTGCTCATGTGCTTGGACCGTGATGGTCGTGTTGAAGCCTGCTCTGGGGTTAGCTCCTTGCGGGCGCTGTGCTGGCTCTGCACACGTACCTGAGATGTATTGCGAGAGTAGCTCGGCGCCAACCTCTTTTCCTTTGTGGCCGCCGTACTCATAAGGGTCCCAGTGGAGCGACACCAAGTGGTTTGTATTGTTGCCAGGGACCACCTCCATATCCTTGACCGTTGCACTGCCAATGTGCGAACCATTGGCGAGCACGTTGATGTTGAAGTACGGAACCGTAGCCGAGTATTTGGTAGGATTGGTGAAGTTGACCAGGGCTGTAATGGTAAGAGAGGTTGGTGACGTGTCAATGATTGCCATGTTGCCAACTGTAACGTTAAGCGCGCTCTTCTTGCCTAGGCCCTCTCCAGGCTTGCCACCGCCAATTGCTGGACACCCAAAGTTAGCATGCTGCAGAACAGAGGCAAAACGTGGATTACGAACTGGCTACGAACGTTTGACTGGTACGACGCCCTGCGCCGGAATGCCTCGCACAGCGAGCTTGCCCATGGGCGTGTCCACACCAACGCTGACTGCTGCCTTGAGATCCATCAGGACCGATTTTCCGCCAAAGAGGAGCGTCTGCACGACTTGGCTAAACAAGTCATCGTCGACAATCTTGATGGGCGCCTCCTTGATGGTAGACTGCACCAGGAGCGAGGGGCCTTCGGAGCCGTGACCCTCGACGTGCGTAGAGTTGGCCTTTTGCCACTTCTCCAGGTTCATCTTTCCGAGCAGCTTGTTGCGATAGAAAATGTCTGCGTCAGCCTTGACTTGGGTCACGTCAATCGGAAAGTTCATCTCGTTGGGGAGTCCAATGTCAACGTTGACAATACCGGACACCTTGGGTGCAGCCTCGGGCGTTCCAGGCTCCGCAAAGGGGTCGGGCAGGCTAAAGTGCATGTCTGCCAGAGAAAAGTTTTTGATGAGGTTGCCCATGGATTTGCCAGCAAATGGCACAGGGACCGTAATGTCTTTCAGCAGCTCACGAGCCCAGTCCGGTGTGGCTGGGTCGGGGAACTTGCAGCAGTTGATGTAAATGGTCGCATCCTCGCCCTTCATGTAATCGCCCAGGAAGGCATCGAGCGGCGACTTGGCCGTGTTGGGACACACTTGTGTCAAAGGTTCAGAGAGCTTCTCGACATTGGCACCGACGTCGACTTGGACATTCGAGTTGGGCCTGACGTGGAGCTCGCCCGTCTGAGCCGTTCCAACCATGAGATGCTTGTCCGCCGAACAGCCCTCGATGCCCACATCGACGGCCACGGGCGGGAGCGTGATCTCGACGGGGAAGTCATTCTTCACAACTATGGTTGCGTTTGCAGCAAGACCCTTTCGGCCATGCTGGGCCTCGCCAAGGTTGAGCTTTGTGATGTTGTAGTGAGGGAGGGCCGGGATGTCGCCGCTCTGAAAGACGACCGACTGCTCAACAAGCTGCCTGCCAATGTTGAGCACGCCCGACCTGAGCGGCACCCAGGCCTTTCCCTTGAGCCGTATCTGCCCCAGGCGGCCATCGATCCAGTCGTTGGCAACGTTGCGGATACCGTCGGGCGAGCCTGGCTGCACGGTTGCATCAAAGACCACATGGGTCGTGTGCCCGTTGCGGATGTTCACCCTCAGTCCTGGTATCTTGGCGGTGCCGACCAAGACGTTGCCGTACTCGGGCAGGTAGACGTCGGCATCAAAGGGGCCCGTCTCGGCCTCGCGGGCAATCCAGGTGCCCAAGCGTCCCAGGTTGCGCACGCTCTGCTTCTTGACCTTGGAGGCGTCCATGGTAAAGTCGCCCTGCACGCGGACTTTGGCGCCGTGACGGGTCAAGCCGTCCATGGAGAGCTTGGTGGGCCTGAAGTCGGCTGCCTGCATCGAGTACTCCTCGATGCTCTCCTTGGCCAGGAAGCCGAGCATGATGAGGATGACGACCAGACACAGCGTGATGAGGGCCAGTATGCTCGGCCAGCGCTTCTTCCACAGCGAGCCCTTGGCGGCCTTGTCGGACGAGCCACTCAGCGAACGCCGCAGCGACCTCGTCGCCGGCGTTGGCTCGTCGTCTTCGTCATCGTCGTCTCTGTCGCAATCGTCGTCGACATGCTGCTCGGACAGCAGCGGCGTCTCTTCGGTGGTCCTGCTGGACTGCTGCGAGCGGGTTGAGCGCGACGAGCGGGCAGACTTGTGCGAGGCGGGCCGCAGGCTGGGGGTGCGTGTGTTGTCGTTGTCGCCCCACGTCTCGTCGGGGTTGTCCATTTTCAGGCGGAGGGGGGTCCAGGCGAGCGCCATGGCGTGCGGAGGGGAGGGGGGGCGTGGTCAGGCGGGCAGGCGGGCTGGTGGTGGAAGCAGGAGGAGTGTACAAGAAGATGAAGAAGAAGAGGAGGAGGAGGAGGCCAGGGACACGACGCGGGTCATGTTCATCGTCTCGTCATGCACTCAGCCACTCGACTGGCTTGCTGGACGGGGCCAGGCCTGCCGCGGCCGCTAGTGCGGGCTCGCCACGACGACCCCAGGAACGCTGCGCTGCCGCTGCCGTTATGTTATGTACGCGTGCGCGTGCACACGACAGGCACAGGCGTCTTACTAGCGCCGTCACCAAAGATTTGCGCCCACAGTCACCGCGCCCGCCTGTGACTCCCACGCCGCTGCTTGTGCCGCTATCGCTATAAATTCACAGCCCGCCTCCGCACCGCCGCCCTCATTCCAATTGCACCGCAATGCCCGCCTTCCGCCCCTCGCCCGCCGCTCTGCGGGGCTTGCGCCGCTGCTACTCGACCTCGCCAGCTACGCCGCCCACTTCGCCCTTTGCGCCCCGACATCTGCTCTCCATAGCAGACCTGACCCCGGCCGAGCTCACTACCCTCGTCCACAATGCACACAAGCACAAGACGGCCATCAAGCAGACAGGAGAGGTCCCCCAGTCGATGCGCGGCGCGCTGGCGGGCAAGACGGTTGCCATGACCTTCAGCAAGCGCAGCACGCGCACCAGGATATCGACTGAAGGCGCCATCGCCGCCTTTGGCGGCTCTCCCATGTTTCTTGGAAAAGACGACATCCAGCTGGGTGTATGGCCGACCTCTCCGTATTTGCTGTGCCGGCTGACGTGAAGATGCAGGTTAACGAGTCCCTGTACGACACCTCGCTTGTCCTCTCCAGCATGACGGCCGCCATCGTTGCCCGTGTAGGCCGCCATGCCCATGTCGCCGACCTCGCAAAGCACTCGAGCGTGCCCGTCATCAATGCTCTCTGTGACCTGTACCACCCTCTGCAAATCATCGCCGATATGCTCACCATTTCCGAAATCTACCCCTCCACCTCGGCCACTTCGCTTGGTCTCGAAGGACTCAAGATTGCTTGGATAGGCGATGCGAACAACGTCTTGTTTGACCTGTCAATTGGCGCCACAAAGCTAGGCATCGACATGGCTGTCGCAACGCCAAAAGGCTACGAGATCCCCCAGTCCATGCGCGACGTCATCTCCCACGCTGCCCAGACATCTCCTCGAGCAGGAAAGCTCTTCGAGACCAACACACCCGAGGAGGCCATCAAGGACGCAGACATTCTCGTCACAGACACATGGGTATCCATGGGCCAGGAAGAAGAAACCGCCAAACGTCTCAAGGCTTTCGAGGGCTTCCAGATCACATCAGACTTGGCCAAACGGGGCGGCGCAAAGGAAAACTGGAGCTTCATGCACTGCTTGCCCCGCCATCCCGAGGAGGTTGCTGACGAAGTGTTTTACGGACCGAGGAGCGTCGTCTTCAAAGAGGCGGAAAACAGGCTGTGGAGTGCCATCAGTGCGCTCGAGGCCTTTGTTGTGAACAAGGGAAAGATCCAATGACTAGATCCTTGGTTTGAGTAATCGGAAGCACCAAAATACCGCGGGGCGTGGCCAAAAACGAAAAAGTTATGAATTGACGAATCTCAAAAGTTACATCTACGCAGTCCTCTATCTCTACCTGAATACCATGTTACTTTCAGTCCTTGCTCTTCTTCCCCTCCTTGTCTACACCTTCGTCTTCATCCCCTTTCTCCTTGGGTCTCTCGTCCAACCCTTCCACGCCCTTGCCCCAGGCCCCCGCCTTCTTCCCCCACGTCATCATCCCCCAAGCATGTGTCCAGCTAAACTTTGGCGGCGCATCAGGATGCGTCCGGAACGGGCTCGCCCCATGCTTGAACATGTCCTCTAGTTCCCTTTGCCGGTCCTTCTCCCGCTCCGTCTCAGACAGAATCTTGATATTCGGTGGCAACGGCGGCAGCGTCGACAAACTAGAACTAGAAGAGCTATCCTTGGACGCGCGTTCCCAATGGCGGTTTGAAAGCGGAAGAGGGCGCCACCATGTTTCCGGCCCAGCCATAGCCGCCGCATCGCTCGAACCAGCGCGCTCCCACCACTTCCGCGAGCACATTTCCCAGATGCGGCTTTCAGCCCGCTTAACAGCAAACTTCTCGTCTTCGCCCGTGAGCCCCCCAATGTTGGCAAAGTCCGGCGACCCGGGTCCCAGGCGGCGCTCATCCGTGTATGAAGAGCCCGGGCGACGCAGCCGATTGGGAGGATCGTCTTCGAGCGCGTCTTCAGCCAGTGCGTTGGTGGATCCTGCGTACGACGAGATGTTGGGGCGGAAAGGCGAGTTGAGGTCTTGATAGATTTCAGAATAGGTTTCTGGGTACACGGCGTCAGAATCTAGTGTTTCCTCGGCAGTGTTTGAACGCAACGACGGTGGCTGCGATGGGAAAAATATGGCGTCTGGACTGGCGGCTGCTGTCATCATCAGTCTGCATCTGGCTTCGTACATGGCATCGAGGAGCGTGATGAGGCGTCTGGCTTCGCTTTTCATCAGCAGACCCATGATGGGCACGTCAGTGACGATGAACGTGTGATATGTGGATGCGAGTGTAATGTAGTCTGCTGGTCCGAGCACCGCACCGCATAGCTCCCCAAAGGTAAAGAAGGCGACGCCGTTGTATTGCGCCGGCACGTGCAGAGGCCGGTTGTACACGGAGAGCGTCGCGGGTTCCCAGGGAATGGGGTATTCCCGGCCTGTTGCATGCTCGACGAGAGAATTGAACGCTTCGCCGAATTCTGTCATGGTTTCCGCGGTCGTGGGCTGGATGAGATAGTGCTTTAGTAAAGATGCTGGTGTGCCTGGTGTCTCGGTGGATGCAACAGTGTCTGTCGTACTTGTTGCGCTGGCAGCAGTCGAAGCTGAATTCATTGCATCGAGGCTCCCAGACGCCGGAACCTGCACGCTGTCTCGTCTCCCGGCTGTTTCTGTTTCTTGCCCTTCCTCCTGCTCCAGCTTTCGATAATCCTTCTTCCCTTCCATTTCCCAAACCTCACACCTTGCCCTCAAGACCTCGAGGAACGCTGAAAATTCGCCCAGTTGCCCCGCCCCATCATCCCTCCTCGTATAGGAGCTTTTACTCATGCTCCAACCCAGACGACTGAAACGGTGGACCGGTCGTGAAAACTCCATACCGGCTGCCTTGGCAAGCTCTTCTGGCATACGGTTACTTGTTGCAATGAGGACACCACCGAGCTGGAAGAAAGACGTCATGAGGTTCGAGAGAATCTTGCTCGCTGCGCGGTCAGGCAGCTGGAACTCATCTAGGAAGAGGATCGGCGAATGCTCAATGAGATCACGTGCTACAAGCAGTAGTGAGTATTCTTCGTTGGGTGCTCCTGGACTTGCAACTAGCGACCTGGACCTCCGAAGCTGCTCAAGCCGAGAAATGGTGTCGAGCATAAAGGTATTGAAGTGCCAGCGCCGCTTCTTCCGGTTGGGCAAACACTCTTGGAACAAGTCGATGAGCATGGATTTTCCGGTGCCGACCTCGCCGTGGAGCATGAGGCCTTTGGGGCTCTGCAACTGCATGGCTTCATCATGGCTCGTCAGAACACGGGTTAGAGCTACCGATTCTCTTTTCTCTTTTTCGGCAAGTAGCGACGTCCATACGCCCCTCCGGCCAAAGCGATTTGTACGCCCGTCTTCCGGGGCCCCTGTCGCAGCATTTTGATCCGAAGCGACAGCCCGGGTAAGTTGCTGCAGTCGGTTCGAGTATTCTACTGTTGGTTCGTAATCTATCAGTCGGTCGTAGAGTTTCTGCAGGTGCAACGCTGATGGTCACAGTCAGTTCGTGTACACGTGCTGAGCCATGTCAAAATGGTAGACGTCATACCGAGACGATGCTGAGCGGGATCAGGTCGGATCTTCTGGGTAGCGACGAGACTGCGATAGAGCACCAAAGGATTGGTGATCGCAACACCGGTCGACGACATTGGTAGTCATTGGTTTGAGGAAGTCGTAGCTTGTGTGCATCGTCCTCAAGTCAATCATGCCCGAGGTGATCTGCCCTCACATTGGACTAGACTGCAATCGGCGCTAGCGGTTTAGGGAAGTGCCGAAACGTGGAGCGGTTGCAACATCATGCCTGGGACGTGAGACAAAACTACTATTCAAAGATGGGCATGCCATGAGAGCTGTTTGATTCTGAACGCTTGAAATCAATTGTGGTATCGTGGATGCCTAATAAACGTAGTTCAAATGTTTGTAACCCCGGGAGACCATGCATCAGCAATCTTCTTGACCTCTTGAATGAACTTGCGGCTTGTGATCTGAGTCGAGCCAATCCTGTGCTCAGAGTTGACCGTGACTGGGGAGTGCTCATCTGGGTCATAGAATCTAGGTGTGGCCATAAGCGGTCAGAAGACACGGTTTGGGTTGAGTCTTTGCTTACGGATTTCTGAGCAGCTTAATGTACGCTGTTTGCAATGCTCTGAACGCCTGCACAAGATTAGAAGAATTAGGACTAATAGGGTACCGAGCTTACAGGCTTCATGTCCGCATCTCGCAGCCCAACGGCGGCTGCTGGTTTATGATCAAGAGGATTAGCTGGCTTTCCTTCCATGTCCACTACTATGATGAACTTGACGCCAGTGTTGGTGAGCCAGCCGTACATGGCCAGCCTCTCATCAACAGCTTGCAGCAGTCCAAAATCCTGGTCTGCCGTCTTATGCGGCAGACGAGTCTCGAAGATGTCCAAGCATGACGACAGAAGAAATTGGAACTCTAGTGGCGCGCGCTCCTCAGGCGGAAACAGAGATATATGCAGCGGGTTGTTCTTTGCCAATGTTCAGTATCAGCAAATGGCTTCATCTGCAATGAAGAAGTACTAACGTGCTTGCCGATGACGCCAATGCAAGCGATCGATGGAACCTGCAGAGGGTCAACACACGCTCCAAGCCTTCAACGCAGCAATCTCCTACCCGGCCTGACATTTTGTATGCAGTATCAACAGATGACAGCCGTGTTCGAGCACCCTGGGCGTGGATGCGGAGTAGTCTGGCCGAAGTAGTCCGAAAGGGTGTTGGCGAAGGAGTGATCGATCCCTGGCCTATCAGATGGCGCCAAAATGGACGGCTAATCGATGTCTGCCAAGCATTTTGATGCACCTACCTCATCGATCAACTTCGCGACTCCCTCGACCGCCACCCCACATCTCGCCTCTCCACTCCTTCGCCCACGCCTTTCCTTGCCCTCCATCGCAACCATGCTTTCGACGACAAGGTCTGCGGCCTCAATGGCTCTGCGAGGTTTGCCGCCGCCTGCCCGAAAAACTCGCAGTGGCCGTCAAACTGACACAACGGATAGCCAGACCCGCGACGGCCTTGATGCCCTTCCGCGCCGGAAGCGCGGCCTTCCTCTCCTCCAGCTCCGCCGATAGAGCGACCATGAAGACGCCCGCCACTATCCCGGGCAACCCCGGCACACCCCCTCCGATGAAGTCGGCACGACTAGAGGTGCCCTTGCCGAGCCAGGAGGGCAAGAAGGGTGCTCTGCAATATGCGTTGTATGTGGTTATTCCCTGGATCCCCGTCGAATGGGCACAGCAAACGACATAAACTAATATGCCGCAACAGGACTACCCTCGACCAAATAGTCAACTGGGGCCGCCAGAGCTCGCTCTGGCCCATGACGTTCGGTCTCGCATGCTGCGCCATCGAGATGATGCACTTGTCTACTCCGCGGTACGACCAGGATCGTATCGGTATCATTTTCCGTGCCTCACCTCGGCAGTCCGACGTCATGATTGTAGCTGGAACCCTCACAAACAAGATGGCCCCCGCGCTCCGACAGGTCTACGACCAGATGCCTGACCCTCGATGGGTTATTTCTATGGGTAGTTGCGCAAACGGAGGAGGATACTACCACTACAGCTACTCGGTCACAAGAGGATGTGACAGGATTGTACCTGTAGATATCTATGTACCAGGCTGTCCGCCAACCGCCGAGGCGCTCATGTACGGTGTTTTCCAACTGCAGAAGAAGATGAGGCATACCAAGATCACCAGGATGTGGTACAGGAAGTAGAGCAGTCTTAGTTTGGTGTGGTCATTTGGCGGTCGTTATATCTGCAAGTTTGAGGGCATATAGCCCTCCCTGTACAAATCTATATTCTATTTGCATAGTCTATCACGCGCGAATCCGTCTACAAGATTGTCTAGTGTTACGCCGTCTCGCCCAATCCAAACATCTTGATCGAATTTCTCCAGGCACTGCGTGATTGTTAGCCACTCATCATACGCATACAAACATTATGTTGACGACTTACGCATCACAAACCTCCTCCACATCGATCTCTTTGATCTTTGCAATGGCGTATGCGACATGTGGAATTGTAGCTGGCTCATTTCGCCCCTTGACCATCATGCCTTTGGCCCACTTCTCCTTCTTGACTGCCTTTGGCAAAGGGGGTGCGTCTGTGAGGAACTTAGCCGATGCATGGCTGGGTCGCATCTCGCACCATGGGCCGTCTGTTTCAATCTGCAGACGCTCCAGTGGAATTTGTTTGACAACTGAGATATTTTCGTCCGCTGAATAGCAGCATTAGTTACCCATGATATAGTGTATCAAGTAGGCCATCAGAATACGCACTCTTCATGCTACATCCATTAACACCAATGTCGAAGCCTAGCTCCACAAGCCGCTGCATTTCTTCTACTGTTCCAGTGAAGCTATGCACAAGACCTCTTTTCGGTAGCTGATCAAGCTTGGCAGTCAGGAGCCTCTCAAAGTCCTCGCTCGCAGCACGCGAATGGAGGAAGAGTGGCAACTGCACTTCAATAGCGATTTCCAGCTGCGCTTCAAAGTACTTGAGCTGCGGCTCCTTTGGCGTCAGAAAGAGACGGTCATAGTCGAGTCCTATTTCTCCAAACGCAACCGCATGGCCTGCTTCCTTGGCTTCAATGGCCAAGGCTTTAAGGGCAGAAAGAAGCTCGGAGGGGCCACCGGGGTGCTTGTCGAAGTGTTTTGCCGAGCAAGGGTGTACGCCTACAGTGGCATAGCATAGCCCTGGATGCGCTTTTGCTATCTCGATGGCGTGCTTGGACTCCTCGAGGTCTGAGCCAGTGACCATGAACTTCTTGCAGCCAGCATCGACGGCTCGCTGAATTACATCTTCAAAATCATTTTCGTGACGTTGGGTACCGTGGTATTCACCCCGGTAGATGGGATCAGTAAAATTGATACCAATCTACAATTGGTGGTCAGGAATTTGAAGGGTCACAGATAACGAGATGCGGACCGACATCGATATACTTTAACTGAGAAGAAGCAGCCATGGTGCTATATCCCTGATGTGTTCCGTGACTGAACAATGGTTGTTCTGATGAGTGTTAGATGAGAACACTCGATGTAGCAGCCTAGGATGTGACACACCTGAGAAATTTCTCAAAATTTCGGTGCGATTATGTAGTGCACGTTTTTGAATCAGCTGAACTGAACTCTTCAGTGGTTTCTGTGGGCCAAGCGCTCGGATAGTCCTCGAAAACATGGGTTGAAAGCTGATGAAGAAGAACGAGAAATGGTCACAACTGTTCCAGTGTTCATGACTAAGCCAGTTTGGGCCTAGTTCCAACACTTGCATCACTCAGTGTCGTGGTCGCACCGGCACTACCATCACCAGGCATCTCTACACACATACAATAGTTGTAGCAAAGCATCACTTCTATCAGTGCTTGAGCTTTAGAACAACGTATTACTAGAGTATTGGAAGATACCAAGACTCAGCCTGCACCGTGGGAGTCGACATCCGTCCTTGCACGTTCCAGTCACTTCAACCGGTACTTTGTACAATCTAGGGACATAGCCAACGTGCAGTGCGAATCTTACTAATCCTCCAAGTCCATGGAGAACGTGTGGCATCTCCGCCGCGTCGCGGACAATGCTGCCAAGGCCTGCTGGATATGCTATAAGCCATCCACAAGCGTCCTCATCACGCCTAACAACAAGGTGCGTTGGGATCCAAGAAGCTAAAATCACATCACTCATGCAGTTTAGGACTTTTTCTACATCTGTGCTGGACATCTGACCGACCGAGGGTTCTGCCAGCCAGAGGCCGAGGAGGCAAAGAGAGTCGCAGATCAAAAGAAGCAGGAAGAACTGGATCGCGAGATTGAAGCAGTCAAGAAAGAGTACGAACAAAAGCAGCAAATCAAACGGGACAAGAGAAAGGGTAAAGACAAAGAGAAGGATAAGGAGAAAGAGAAAGAAGCAAAGTCCAAGGAAGAGGAGGAAGACAAGCAGGACGAAAAGGCCAAAGATGACAAGGTTCGCACGACACATTGACCCATGTATCGATTGCTAATATTTTTTCAGATCAAAGAGCTCTCCAAGACCAAAGAGCAAGTTCAAAGCGAGCTGGGTCCTCGTATATTCCAGCTCAACAAGTGCGCATGCGCCACAACATTCGCCCCGCTATACTGACGGTGTATAGGAGCTTTTATCAAATGAGACTAGACAGATTACGCAATGCCGAGATGGCTAAGAGAAACCGAGAGCGGCTAAACGATGCGTCAAATTTCCCATCCGTACCGAGTGGCAATCCTTAGCCGTGCGTCATAGCCGGCTGCATCGAACACTACGGCCACACACCAGCTACCAACTGTCTCTCTTCCTTCTGATAATCCTCTCCTTTTACATGAGTAAGAAGTGGAGGGAGGGGCTCTCTTGGCGAAGGACGACGGAGCTTACTGCCGCCAGCCACTGATCCTTTGCAATGCGGTCAGCAATTAGCAACTGGATACAATTCCATGCTTACTGAATGTCATACGTGTCATCTATCCGCCTGTATACACCGTAGAGTGTCATTCGCCTGGATTCATGATGCTTGAATGGCCGCTAACGGAATGTGTTGTACACCTAACAGTTTGGAGAAGATCAGGATTCGCACCCGAGAGTGCTCTCGATAATGACGGATACTTTGCGTTACATGTGTGTATTAGGTTCTATCCAAAGGGCATCCTGATAACAGCTGGGCATGTGGGTGGACAAGTTCCCATGGAAAACTTCCTAGTGATATTGCTCCGGTTCCACCACTCATCAAGCTAACGATAACAGGTTGGCTGTAGCAAGCACCCCCTTAGGTGTACACAGCTGCACTGCATCACGCGGTAGAATGGCAGATTGATCCGATATTATCCCGTTGTGGAGACTGTTGCAGTCATAACAGTGATACCCAAAATCGCCGATCTTGTGCTCAATCAACGTCCAAATCCATGCGTTTGATGCATCAGCCATGGGTCCGAGTCGCTTGCGCCAGCCATAACCCGAATATGAAACATCCAATCGTGAGCTTGGGAGGAAGATCCATTGCTTGCTACAGTATTCAAGGCAGGATGCAGGAGCCTGGCTCGAGGTACGGTTAAGGGATGTATCTGCTTCGGCTGAAGAAGCTACTAGCCGCAGGACTAGGACGATGATACACTAAATGCATATAGGAATACCGCAGTCACTCGTCATCCAATCTCCTTGTTTGTAAGTAAACGCATCTTATCTCATGGTTGATAGTGAAGAAAACATCTATTTTGAGGACTTTGATTTCAACATCATCGATAGCTAACGGTATATCAGCAGTGTGTTATCTTCACAGAAGTGAAACGGTAGTTACCCCAGGTCATGGGAAGACTACAAAGACACAGTTTGATACTATTTAAAGCATACAGAGTGGCCTGATTGAGAGGACGTTTAGACGCGCAACGTGCCATCTCACGTTGAAACTTACCGGAAGCGCGGGTACTACCCATGTCTTCGCGTGTATAGTGATACTATTCCTACAATGCGCACGATTCGAACGGAAAAATCAGCCGACACATGATGTGCATGATCGTCTGTTTAGACCCGTTACATTCTCCTGCAGGTAAGCCATGTTTCAGTCTTCTCAAGTCTTCGTTCGAGCGCGGCTGACGCAGCATCACATGCGTGGACTTGCCGGAAACAGCACTGCCATATGGTGAACCCGATGCTCATATTGCTGACCATTATGGAAACATACTGAGGATTCAAAACGACACCAGAAAGCCAGCTTCGCCCCGGCGGACCGAAGCTGTGGTCAGGGGCTTTTCTAGGTTGTCTAGCGGATCAGCGTGGTTTTGCGCGCTTTCTAGCAAGACGCGCAGTTATTTGGCCCACTATACACGTACTCCCATGCCCTAACATTCGAACGAAGGAGAAATTCTTGGGTGAGGCGCATGACGCTCGCCCGTATAATGTGGAAGGATACACTTGACGCTTGAAGAAGTCTAGCCTAACCGTAACGCCAAGCAAGAAACCGGTCGGCAGTTCGTGACACTTAGCCCTACCATAGGGCATCTGCAACAACATGCAGCTCGAATGTCGTCGGAGTGGCCGGATCTCCACTCTGCATCCCGCTTAGGCGTCCAAGGAAGGTGGCCGCTTCTGCGACCAAGTCAGCAGTCAGCAAACGCGGTGAGCATGGCATTTGGACGAACGAGATGTCACCGGATTGTCACTGTTATTAGCACCTTCTTCTCAGGGAATAATGACATTCCCCCTGATTGGATATTCCCGGACTCTGAGTCATGATACATAAGTAGGTGATTTCCATGATCCCCCTCGATTGGCCGGCTGCACCGCAGATTGACGCAATCCGAAGAGACTATGCCCGTGACTACGTAGTCACGCCCTGCATAAACCAAATCAGCGCTGAGCAGTTTCGGTTTTAGTTTTGGAGAGGGGAAGAAAAAAAAAGGGAAGAAAAACCCCTCAGGGCACATTTCCCTGTCAGACACGGATCTCGCATCTGAAGGATTCCGAGCCCGAGCAGCTGCAAACCGCAAGGCACGGCATCTTGTACTACAACACTGAACCTTAAGTGCCTTGATGGCTGAAGTCGAGGGTTAGGAAGCTTGCTCAACAGAAGTCAGAAACCTTTAATACGACGGTTGTTGAGATTGGGTTTTTTGCGACGATAAGGTTTATACCTCGAACGGTTCGGGAGCATACCCCCGTTTTGCAACATTTAACTTTAGCATAATATGCGAACTGGACCGTCCTGATTGTCAATACACCAACTCGACATATTTCTCTACATGGCGATACTAATAGGCCGTCTCTTATCCGGTTGCCTCCTATCCGGTTGCCTCCTATCCGGTTTCCGAGTGCTTTTATCTACTGTACATTGATTGCGCTAAAGATGGCGTAAACTCAAATCCCAAGTGACTGCGCCGGCCCAAAGCCTACCGTTTGCAACACACTCCACATGAATCGTCTCTCGTCTCCCACTTACTCGTTCACGCACCCGCGTTTATTCCTTGACTTGGCAAAAGAAGGGGGCGGGAAACAGGCTCAAAGAGGGATAACGTGCGACATCGGTCTCTTGTCAGATTTTCAGGGTATGTGTGTCAAGAGACCCTGAGTGAGCACAAGAAATACACAAGTTTAGTTCGGTTGATCAATAGCCCGTAGGGGCGAAAAACGCCTAAACACGGATAGTACTGCAATCTATGTAACTGACGTGATGCGTAAAAGAGAGAGAGAGAGAGAATGAGAACAAAGGGGGAAGGAGGAGAAGAGAAAACCACCGAAGTTGATCGAGGTGCTTCCCTGTCTTCCATCTCACCCGCAACCTGAAACAACAAATGAACTCCCAAGAGTCCATTGAGGCCAAGCTCAATATTACACTCTATCGACTATCATCACCATCAGCATCATGTCAACCGACGACCAACGGCCGCCGACGCCGACGCCGCTCTCCACCCCATCCCGACGCTTCCAACACTCCACCTCATCCCGATCCTAGTCTTCTCCCAACGCATCACCCACCCAGTGGCCCAAGGCTGAAAAGCCGCGCCGCCTCCAAAAGGGTCGGCGATTACTCCACACGCCGTTAGTGCTCACTCTTTTCCCTCTCTGTCTCTCTGACAGCAGCGCCCACACACCCTTCCTCCCTTGCCCAAACGCACACACCAACTTGTATGTACGTAGTCATCTACACACACACACGCGCGCGCGCGCACATAGTACATGCACACACACACACACACACAGAGGCATACATATATAGGCGCATACAGCGGGAGGAAACGAGAACCACGCTAGTCCGGAGTTAATCAATGACAAGTGCGTGGAAAGAGAGTCAGAGAGTGAGTGAGTTAAGAGAAGGGTTGCTGGCTCGGTGCGGTTTTTTTACGTAGGCGCGCACACAGAAAATATTAATCTGCCGGCGGGGAAGTAGGCCATGCGAAAGTAAGCGCTATGCGTGTGATATGGACGAGTCACGTGTGTGTGTGTGTGTGTGTGACTCTAGGATAACAGAGTACATGTATGTACATGGGTAGGGGAGTTGGGCTTTTTGTGTGTGAGAGTGAGTCTTGTCTTTGTCTGTGACTGAGTCTGTGTCTGTGATGAGAGCAAAACACGTCATGAAAGTCATGGGATGGTAGACCGGAAAGGAATGCTGAGTCTTGGTTTCTTACTCGCGTGCCGGTGATACTGGTGATGCTGGGTCAAAAGTATTACCCCCTTGCTTTAGAGTCTACAAATCCCAGCGAAACACATGGTCCATTATAGACTTCTTGCAGAGAGGTATACTTGATGTCTTATTGTTATGCGCCAGCCGAGGGGAACCAAGCAATCAACTTATGCACACTCAAGTCTAGTGTCCAGTTAGAATCAATACCTCTGCCAGCCTTGGCTCCTTTGTACCTGGCGCATGGGAAAAACCTAATCTACAAAACAAAAACTTACTTTTGATCGTTTCTTTTCCCCTTTTTTTCTTTCCTCATTTACCGTTTCATGTTCCCCTTGCCCTCTAGTACGGCTCTCTTTCTCTCTTTCTCTTTCTCTTTCTCTTTCTCTTTCTCTCTCTTACTCTTACTCTCTTACTCTCTTACTCTTACTCTCTTACTCTTACTAAGTCTTAGCTAAAACAATAAATCATGTTCGCATATCCGCTAGTCATTATACCCGACGACCCCTAACCCTGGCTTTGATCTTCGGCTCATCCTCAGTTCCGAAATCCCCAAGAACCCGAGACATCAGCAGTAAAATAAATAAATGAATGAACAAATCAAAATACCGCCGTGGCTCGTTCCGCTAATGAGGGTATCGCGGCCTGTATAGCTTCTTTTTGGCGGAATTACCCACGGCGCAGCGCCTATTGCCAATACCACATGAAACGCTGCCCCGACTGTCCGCGCTTACGAGACAGGAGACAGGTACCCAATCGCAAGAGAAGGCGGGAATCTTCAGCGTTATGCATAAGTCTAGTATATGATCGTGTTTCGCAGCCAGCCCTGTGTGCTGACGACATGCACGACTTTGACTCGTTTTGGCCAAGCCCACCCTGCACCCTGGCTGCTGGCCGTTCCAAATCCGTACGTACCGAGAGCCCAGCAAGTCAAGGAAATGACCAAAAGCCGCCATTAGCAGCGAGCCTGCTCAGGGTGGATTGCGTAGGCACCGGGTCCAACGGGGGTCGGTTAGCCATGGCCATGGCCCGTCTAGCCTCGGGTCAGGGATCCGCTGACAACATCACTGAGGCTGACGCTTGCATCTGCACCTATGTACGTGTAGGGCGTGAGGCTGAAGGCTGATCAACGGCTGAGACTGAAAAAAAAGCGAGTGCCACTGAGACAGTGCAGCACATGGGTGTCAACTTAAGGTTCACATGACGTATCCATCTGGCTGCGTATTCCCATGCACCGGGCGCCGACGGGGTATCCCAGGCAGAGGGGAGCAACAAGCCATTGGGAAGTGCCAAGCATGCAACGGCCATATTGCATCTATCTGGCCAGGTCGCCATAGAGAAAAGCTTTTCTTGACGATTGTTTTGGATTCATGACAGCATTGTTGGTTGTATGATAGGTCGACAGTCAAAATGAACGAAAGTCGCGCAAAATGTCTATGAAAATGATCCTGGACATGATAGTCCCATCGACGCCCGCTCGGTCAAGAAACACCCTTGAAAATGCATCGAATTTGTCGTTGGACCAGCATCAAAGAATCCTCTGACGCCGGCAAGTATGTATAAGCAAATGCCGTCATCAGTGTCGTTATGCCAAAGCGCCCAGGCTTGGCCTGGAATGAGTGGTAAATGCAAGGCAATCTGTGGCCGGGAAAAAACTTTTCGCTAAAACAGGACTATGTCTGTGTGAATGCTGCTGATATACGGGGCCAAAAAAGAGCTGATCTGAAAATACGGCTACTGTTGAAGGGAACTAAATGATGACGTCGAAGGCTGCGTTTCGTCGAGTGAAATGTGGTTAGATCAGCCTGGGAGGTTTGCGCTGCACGTATAGAGAGAATCCTTGGTGAAGAGAAAAAAACGGCTGTGCTGCAAGTCTGTCCCAGCGAGTACATGTCTTTTTTGGGAAACGAGGGCGAGGGAATCAAGATTCGTCGTGTGCTTCGCTAATCATACCCGGCTTGGGTGCTAGGTTTGAGGAGGCGCCGGATATGGAGCTTATCGAGCCAACGCGCTCCTGCGGCGGGGGCTCATCTCTCATGCACGCATTCTCCAGCATGTTGGTCCATTTACCGCTGGTGCCTGCATGGCTGTGCTTCAGGTGCTGTCGGAAATGGTCTGCGCGGAAGAACTTCTTAGCTTGGTTGCATTCACCAAATTTGTGCACGTGGTTCAAGTGTTCTGATCGAGCTTCCCAATCTGCAGGGTTGGGGAATTCTTCGCCGCAGTAACCGCAGACATCTGCAGCCGCTGGACGGGTGGGTGAGGGGTGGAAGGCTGCATGAACGCCAGCGAGCGTTGCGCATGACCAAGAATGCCGGCGGAGGTGAAGGGAGTTTTGGTGGCGCTCGGCTTCATTCTTGTTTTTGAAGCGATTAGGGCAATACTGGCAGATGTACTGCTTCTCTAGCTCGTGCAATCTGTTGCTGGGGTCAGCGCATGGTCACTCGCAACGTGGGACGGGGGGGGGGCCAAGTAGCGGTGGGTAAAAACGCAGACCCATGTCACTTACCGCAGCTCCTCTTCACTATCAAACTTTTTGGGCTTCTTGGGGCAGCATTCGCAAATGTAGGCGCCGGGTAGACGGTTTGCTATTGAATTTTGGCGCGAGTGTAACATGCTTTCTGTAGACATCTTGCGGATCTGTGGATGCTCGGTCTCCGAGAAGCCTCGTTGATGCGGCGGCCGCGACAGGGACCCGCGGGGGCTGGGATCCAACGACCTGTTAGCTGCATAAGGCGACACGGGGCCTAACTCCGTCTCCCCCAAGGGTGACAACGCATTGGGCGACAGGCGCTGATCTCCGCCATAACTCGTTATGCTACTTGGAGCCGTAGAAAAGCCAAACGACGACCCAATCGAGCCGCTACGTTGGCTGGCCGATCCAGCGGAAGATAGCGAGCTTGGGTTTGACTGGAAGCGCGAAGCAGTACAGTTTCGGTTGACAAGCATTTGCGCCGACCGGCGGTGATAGAGGTCGTTTTGTCCACTGGTAGTGGGACGGTCCTCTCGCGCAGCTTCCGAGGGCGGCGACGAGGCGCGCCGTTTCAGGCCACCCCTTGAGCCTAACTGGTACTCTTCCGACTCGGCCGGGCTGCGTTCGTTGATGTTCAAGTCGCGCATGCCATTTTCCTCCATGCTGAACTCGGGATCGGAGAAGACGCTATGATCGTAGCTGCCACGGTGGGTTGAGCACGTCTCGTCCAGGGGCCCCGGGGTCGAGATGCTGCCGTAGCGGGCCCTGGGAGGCTCTGCTGAGTCGAAGATGGGACTGCGAAAGCCGCTGTAGCCTGGTGAGATGGCAGGTACTGTCAGGGGCTTTAATTGGGCGTTGTGCTTGTGTATGGCGGCGTGGGCGTCGACAGTGGGGTCTTGGGGATTGCTGGACGAGAGGGGAGGCGCAGTAGTTCTTGTGGGAGTACTTGGCCCTCCAATCTTGGAGAGCAATTGTTTGTCGTAGGCTTGCGATGAGTTTTGGAGGGCCTTTTGCCCCAGCTGCCTCTCGCTAGTAAAACGGTGGCTTGCAAGCGAGGGGCGGGTTTTGCAGTTGCGTTCCTCGTCGCTGTGACCACTGTGTTCGGAGCTCATGTCTTCGAGGGACCTGGTGATGGAGGGTTCGCGATTGCGAGAAAGTATGTAGTCGCCCGAGGGTTCGCGCGGGTAGTTGCTGGCGGCTCCACCGTATAAGCTCGAGCCAGGTTTAACTGTCGCGAGCCGATTTCCGCCAAAGCCGGTGTCCCTTGGACTATTTGTGTTACCCCATTGCCAACCAGGGTCTTGGCCAGTTCTAAGGTCTTGGATGTGACGTGGAGGAGGCAAAGGTGGCGGGACTTCGTCGCGTGCCTGCAAAAACTCGCAATACAATCAGTACAGTGTTGGCACAGCGAGAGATGGAGTGATGGGGAGAGAAGGAAGGAAAGCAAGTATTGAAAAAAAATAAAACAAAGGGATCAAAAAAAAAAGCGAGGAGAGTAATGAGCGGAGCCTGGAGGGACGTTGGCAGTCTTTCGGAAGCTATTTCAAGCACACGAATTCAGCAACGCCGTCCAGACGGATTGCAAGCGTTGTGCAGGTGGAAACACGAGCTTACGTACTCTCGGTATAGCCATTGCTACAGCTGGGCTTGGTATCGAGGGGCGATTGTGGAGCGGCAGCGGATAGCGGTGGGAATCATACACACGAATGCTCGGAGTCGAGGACATGTTTTGTGCAAGCGGCGGTGACGGCGATGTAGGGAGTCGTCGGCGACTCGGCGGGAGTGAGTGAGGCGTAGGCAGGCAATCGACTTGCAGCGCGACAGTGGCGAGCGCGACAAGGCCGACGCGTGGAAGTAGTGGCTGCTGGACAATGTAGGTGGGCACGGGCCTAGACGCAGAAGAGTTAGCCCGGGACCGCAGACGGCATGGCCGAAACGGGCAGGGAAGCGTGCAGCAGGTGGGTGCGGGAGCAGCTGAAGGTGAAGGCGGATGAGTAAACGAGTGCGGCTTACCTGGCGAGGGGGGCGTAGCAGTTACGTCTTGTTGGGCGTCTGGTCGGCGAGGCTGGTGGGCGCTGGAGGAAGCGGGGGCGGTTTCTTCGTACCCGTTGACTAGCGATTGAGGCTGTTCGTAGGGCTGAGACCCTCGTTGCTGTAGGGTAGGAGCTGAACAAACACTTTGGGGCCGCACCGCCACACAGTAGTTGCTTCTTTTGGGTGCGGGCGATTGGTCATATGGGGGATGGGGGGGATCCCGTTGCAAGCAAAGCACTGCTCAAAAGGCCCTGGCGAGTGCAGTGCTCATGGTACACGGCAGCGGACGAGGCCCAGCGGCCATGCGGTAGGGTCCCTTTTTTCTTTAGCGTGGGCCGGAGGCGGGTGGAGAAGAGGGGGAAGAAGGGCTTGGGGCGAGGGCGTCTAGCACATTGGGCGTCGAGGCTTTTTTGGGGGGGGGAGGGGAGGGAGAGAGAGAGAGAGGCACGGGCGGGCACGACGGCGGCAGCAGTAGCGAGCAGCGAGCAGCGCAGCAGCAGCAGCAGACGGAAGAGAAAAGAGATGCTCGACTGGGGAGTGGGTTAGACATTAAGCACGACGCTGGGCTCACTTGCAGGCAGTGATTGGTCGTAGCGCGGGACTCCTGGCACGGAGCAACCAAGTGGAGACGGTGTCGGGCAGGGGTCGGGCAGGGCATGCAGGCCTTAGTCGTGTAGGTGTCGTTTCTGCCTTTTCCAGAAGCGTGAAGCGTGAAGCTCACGCCGGACCCTCTGGCGTGCATAGGGCTTGCTAGTCGTTGTTGCAACGCTGCGTGGCCCTGGGAGCTGCTCAGGTGTCAATGGCCAGAGGGCGGGTGCCGGCAGAAGTTTCCCGGCAGCGTGGGATGGGGTGGACGCTCGCTCACTCAGACGGACCCGCACCGACCGCTTCCGCTACCCGCGTGCCAGTCTAACCCGCAACCGCTCAATCTGACGCTGTGCCGCCTGCACCTCCACCCTGCCCTGCCCTGCCCTGCCCTGCCCTGCCCTATCCTGCCCTGCCTGGCCCTGCCCTACACTCTCCCCCCCTCCCCCCTCCCATCCCCATCGAGGCGCAGCCTGTTGGACAGCAGTCTGGCTGGTCAGATCCCGGCCATGCAACCCTCGTCAGCCAGCCAGCATCGCCCCTCTCTGCTCTCACCGTTGCACGCCGGCCTGGCGTCGCCCTCTGCCTCTGCCTGCCTGCCTGCCTGCCGGCCTCAGCCCCGCCTCGGCCGCCCTACCACTCCCCAGCCCCACCAGGGGGGCGCGTGCAGAGCGAGAGCGAGCGCAACGAGGCCAGCGAGCGACGACGAGGGCGAGGGCGAGGGCGAGGGGGGGCCGCGGCCGCCCATGGCATGGCATGGCATGGCATGCCCTCCCATGGCTGATTATCCTCTGGAGAATGGCGGCCAAGCAAGCCCCTTCACGGGCTCGGGTGCTGAGGGAGCTCCTCGCAGCCCTACCAGCTCATCCGCCTGCCCAGCCTGGCCCTGTCTGGCCTTGTCCGGCCTTGTCGCGCCCCCTCCCCCCCTCTTCCTGCTGCTGCTGCTGCTGCCCCGGCGCTGCCTCTGCCTCTGCCTCTGCCTGCCCGCCTGCCCGCCTCTGCCTCGCCCGCCGCCCGCCCGCCGCCTGCTTGTCCTTGTACATCCACTAGGACTACCGCCGCGCTAGACGATTCCACAATCGCCATTACTTGTACCGTAATGCTCAACAACGTCAGAAACACCGCCGCCGCCGCATTGCCCCCCTCCCGCGGGAACACGTCCCCCCAGCGATCCATTAGACGCCGGCCTCAGGGCGGTTTGGAGGGCGTGTCCAGGTCGGCTGGTGTGTGCAGCGGCGCCGCAGCTATGACAGATCTGCTGTTCGGGGCTGAGTCCAATGGCCTCGCCCTCTCGTCCTAGGGTGCCTCGTGCTGCCACGAGCGGCAGCATGCACACGACTCTGGGGTATCGGGTGCAAGCCGAGCCTGCCCAAGTGCAAGAGCGCAACAGACGGGACTGCCACTACGAGTCGCATCCAAGGCCTGCTGGTGGGCCGTGGGCGCTCCGTCCACGTCCACGTCCACGCCCACGCCCAGCTAGCCGGCCGTACCGCCACTTTGAGACACGGCGAACCACACCGTCATGGGCCATGTCGTCAGGCCCGTATTGATTCATTCACCTCGCCCATGCCCATGCCCGTCCGCAACACGCCAAACTACCGTTTCTCTACCCGTCCTCCTACTCCCAAAGCAATGAATGATGCGCTTCGCCGAGATGCGGGACGAGGCGCCACCGCAGCCTCGCCAGCAGCCGCCTGTATCTAGTCCTAGGTGTACACCTATGTACCTACTACACAGCACCACCACCACCACCACCACCAGCCAGTCGCTTCGGCCCATGTCACGCCGTGCTCGTCTCGCCAACGTCGCTATCCTTCTAGCCACACCCACACCACACGACGACTCGGTCGCCAACCACACACTACTAGGTATAGAATCACAAAGGCCTATAGCCCGCATCCATGCTCGTTGCGCCCAGTCCCTGATCCACAGTCTGCAGCTCCGCGGGCCTGCGGAAGCCTCCGCTGACTCGACGACAAGTGACATTCGCCAGAGCGCATGGTTCACAACTACTGCTAGCTGCTAGTATGTCGCTGTGGCAAAGGCCGTCGCTAGGTCTATGTAGGCCACGACACTCGCTGCTCGCATGACGGGTGGGCAGTGGCCATGACAGCCCAATCGCATCGAGCATCATGGCCATGGTGGTGATGACGACGTCGACAAGGAATGATGCCAACCCACCAAGGCAGAGGTAACGCAAAAAATCCTCCGACGACTTGGTGTCGGGCCATGGAGGCGCCCAGCAGCACAGTCGCCCAGCCACGACGATTCATTCGGTCGTGGGCTGGCAGTGCCAAAGGGCGGCAGTGGCAGCGTGGGCGCGTGTGCGTGGGCGTGGGCGGGCACATGTGCAAGCCATCGCCAACCAACCAAGGCCTCGGTGAAAATTAGAAACTCGCACCCGCAGCCGCGCCCTTCGCCATAGCCATAGCCATAGCCATTCCCATTTCCCATGCACCACCACCACCACCACCACCGCCGCCTCCACCTTCACCCACTGGCACTTGTGCTGCGCGCCTCGTCGCAAGTGCAAGCCTGCTGATCCACATTCCCTCATCTCCGGCCTCCGACCACCGTCGGGCCACCCCCCTTCCGGGCACCAGCACCAGCACCAGCACCAGCAGCGGCATCATGGCCCTCATTGATCGCGTCCCCGGCGACCTCAATCTGTATATTGGTGGGTACGTAATATCGGCAGCCATGGTTTGCAAGTAGCCCCCATGGCTGCGTCCTGGGCGGTCATCAGGCGACTGTCTAACCAGTTGCGTAGCATGTTCACGCTGCGGCGACGCGAAGCCCTGGAGCAAGCCAACATTACCCACGTCCTGTCCGTCCTGCGCACCCCTCTGGACCGAGACCTGTTCGCCCCCTTTGCGCACATGGTCGTCGAGGTCGACGATGTCGACGACGAAAATCTGCTCGAGCATTTCCCCGCCACCAACCGCTTCATCCGTGACGGGCTCCATGGAGGTGGCGGCGTCCTAGTCCACTGGTAAGTCAACCCCGTCAGTCAGTCAGCAAGCATGCATCCACACAACCCTGGATCGCCGCTTCCGACTGCCCTGCTTGGCAATTTTGCCATCTTCACACCACACGCCGGGCCCAGCGCCCTGCCACTGGGTGCCGTGCATGCAGTCCAATCTCTCCTTGTTTCTCCCTCCTTGTTTCTCCCTCCTTGTTTCTCCCTCTCCCTCTCCCTCTCCCTCTCCCTCTCCCTCTCCCTCTGTCTCCCTCTCTCTCCTTCACCCCCACCCCCCACCCGCCCACGCCTCGTGTCCTGCATCAATTTATTGCACAGTCACATTCAGTTTTTCCCCTCCCACTCGTCCGCCTTGCGCCTTCCCCGTTCCGCAATTCTTTCCCAAACCCACACCGCTCTCTCCCCACGCCTTATTCGCTCGCCATGCCTCCGCCACTCGTAATCCTCATGCCAACCACAATCTATTTTCTAGTGCCATGGGCAAGTCGCGATCAGCTACCGTCGTCATCGCTTATTTGATGCAAGAGCACAACATCAGCCCTTCGGAAGCCCTGTCTCACGTTCGCCAAGCACGGTCCATCTGCGAGCCAAACCCAGGCTTCATGAAGCAACTCGACCTCTATGCCGACATGCACACGCCCGAAGACGTCGAAAACACGCCCGCCTACCAGCGATGGGTCTACCAACGCGAGATTGAGCTGAGCCGTGCCTGTGGCCAGGCCCCAGGCGCCGACAAGATCCGCTTTGAAGACGAGCATGTCGCTGATGAGGCTTCAAGCTTTGAGTTGCGATGCCGTAAATGCAGGTGAGTGGGTCCGCGCGATAAGGCCTCTTTCTTCCCCCCCCCCTAGTGTTAGCCTGCACCTTCGTTACCGCCGCCAATGCGTGTACAGCGCTTACAGTGTTTTAGGCGCGCACTCGCAACGTCGCAGTACTTACTGTCACATGGGTCGTCTGTAAATGCCAAAGACAGTGAGGCCCAAGTCCCTGCTTCGGCCAAATGTGCACACTATTTCATCGATCCCTTGTCATGGATGCGACCTGAGCTCGAACAAGGCAGGTTAGACGGACGCCTCGAGTGCCCAAAGTGCCATACCAATGTAGGCAAGTATGCCTGGCAAGGTATGCAATGCAGCTGTGGCGAGTGGGTCGTCCCCGGTATCAGCCTTGCAAAGGGCCGTATCGACGAAGCAAGAAAAGCAACCTTTGGCATACGTCGGCCTCCAGGGGCACCAGTCCAGCCCCCACTAGGCGCGCCTCATTCCAGGGAGAATCTTTAACACTACCATTCAGCCGGATTCTGGAGCCTCAGGCCGTAGACCAGGCAGGGGTTGGAGAGGACCCCACGTGGCATCCTCGTCAATGGCCTCGCGGCTGTCGGTGATATTCAAGACCATCACTCCAACTTGCTCAGCGGCCCTATTTGCTTCCATGTCAGCTCTTGCAGTAGATCCCCGCTATGAAGGAGCGCTGAATGCACAAGTCAGCTGAAACTCAACACGTAGTCAATCTACCGGCTCCCAGTCTACATGTCAAAATCGCCATCATAAGGCACCATGCTAGGCCGATACAACAGCTTGTGGGCTTGGATGATCCGTACTGAGTCTGTCATCTTCTTCCTTACGTGAATACCACAGGAGCAGTCATCCCAACTGCTAGACAACAAGACAGCCACGCAGCCTATCAAAATCATCCTTTCGCCATGTGTTCCCTCGAATATGTACATTTGTGAAGAAATTCGCGCCCATCTACCTACCACTCTTTGATCTATGGCGCTCTATTAGACAATCTTACCAAATGACCTCTAGACGCGAAAAGAAAAACATCACATGGAGCACAACGCAAAAGCAACGCAAAGCAACGTAAAGCATACATCAAGCAAGTACTTAGAACACGAATCAAAGCAATTGGTATACCATAACACGCTCAGAAAAAGCAAGAAAAAATAGACTAGCAACAGCGCAAGAAGAAAAACCAGCCTCCTTGCCTCCCAATTGGTATGTGTGTGCTCATGAACAAAGACCAGAAAGAAAAGAAAGACCTTCTGCAGCAAGTTTCAAAGCACCTCCCATCTCCCTCGTCCCGCCACCCCCTCATCCCTCCCTCCCCCCAAAGGAAAAATGATAGAAAAGGAAAAATGAGAAGAGAAAGAGATAAGAAAAAAGAACCACGCCTCAGCGCCATGCAGTGAACGACGACAACTACGACAATGACCATGACCATGACGACAAGAGCGAAAGAAAAAAAAAGAAAGCAAAGGAATGCGTACAGTCAAATCAATCAGGCAGTCAGTCAGTCAGTCAGTCAGTCAATCAGCCAATCAACCAGTCATCCCAGTTCAACCCCCACATGGACGAAAGAGGATGATGAGCAAAGAGAGGAGAAAGAAAAAACGCCAATCACCACGGTGATTCCCTTCCACGCGTCCAATATCCTTCTAGACCAAAGACGAAGAGGAGCTCTCCACGCTCGACGAACGCGTAAGCTCCTCGCCGCCCTCGACACCCAGCCGCTCCATCTCCTCGGCAATCTCCTCGTACCACTTGCCATGGCACTTGCGGTCCACCTCGCCCACCTTGCCGAGCTGGTCGCAAATGTCCGCCACCTGCGACACGAATTCAGGGAGACCCGTCGTGGCGAGGCCTTCGGTCGCCGTGCTGGCCGCTCGCACCCGCTCGCCCGAGCTGCTGGCGCTCACACGGTTGAAAATGTGTGTCTTGAGCCGCTGGAAGAGCACCTTCATGACCGGGTCCGAAAGCTTGCCCGCCTCGGCCTGCGTAAGCAGTCTCGTGATGGTCGATGAGAGCTGCGACCGCGTCGACGGTGGCATGTTGCGTGAAGACTCGAGAAGAGACGAGATCTTGCCAGCCGTTGAGGCATCAGACATGTATCCGTTCTCCTTGAGCACCAGCCACATCTTGCTAGCTTCCGACTTCCACTGCGAGCGCACATCCCGCTTGAGCAGGTTTTTGGCTGTGAGCAGAATGCCTCCAATCGTCGTGATGCGAAGCGCGTCCTCGCGGATCCGGGCTATGCGTGCGCGGTCCAGTTCCAGTGTCTCGGGCAGTTCGGACTCTCGGAGCGGTGGCGTTGCGATAGCGAGATCGACAAGACCGCGTGCATAGATTTTGTGCGCCGTGGGACGATTGATGGGATTGGCCTGGCTCCATGGGTCACGGCGATCAGCCTCGGTGTGCATATTGACTGCGGCACTGCGCCACCAGCGGCGCGTGCGGTCCAGAGTGATTTTACCCTCCTCGAGGTCCTGCGTGAACATGCGTTGCTCGTAGCCGATAGCCTCCTTGATGAGCGTGGGAGCGGCGTTCATCAGAAGGAAGTTTGAGTAGTCCAAGGAGAGAAGGTCGATAATGTGGAGCACCTTGAACAGCTTCTCAATCATGCTGGAAAGATCGCCCTCTTCCTTCAGTTCTTCCGCGAGCAACTGGACCTCTGCGTCTCGGAAGGGAGCGCAAAGCTTGGGCAGGATACCGGCAATGAAGCCAAAGAACTTGGCGTACGAGAAGACGCCTTGACTGCACTGCCGACTGATATGCTCGGGATCCAGTGTCTCGGAGATGAGGGTATGCATCGAGTTGCCAGGCTTCAGCAGCCGTAACAGCTTGCCCCGTATGTTTTCTGCCATGGCAGTGGTCCAGTTTGCACTACCACCCTCTTCGAAGCCTCGTCGCATGGCGTCGCAAAGCTCGCGGTTGAGAGCATCGCGAAGGTCGGCGGTAGGTGAGGGATCAATGCGGTATTCCTTGTCAATAGACAGCTCGTGAACAAGTATGCGGTTGTCAGGGACCACTGTGAAGACCTTGGATAGCGACTGGGCCTGGTGACCCTGAGTAGTGGTATTGGTCTGACCAGAAGCCGCGAGTTCGGAAGCGGCCTCTGCCTGATGGGCAGCGCTTTCGGCTGACAGCGGAGAGTCTGGTGTCGAGTCGCTGGCCACACGCGGACGAACCGTATCACCTGCGAGCCTCTTCTTTGGCCTTGACCTCCGGCTTTCACGTATGGCCTTCCTGATCAAGGTAAGAGCCCGGTCAGGCCCAGCCAACTTCTTGATCCTACTAAGCAATATAGCCTGGTTATCCCGGATACCATTTCGATATTCGTTTGCCACCTCGTCGACGGTTGCATCCTTGACGCTCTGCCATATTTCATCCAGGCTGACAAACGAAGCAACCATGGTCTCGATAAGCGCTGACGAATCACGGGATTTCCAGTCGTTGAAGGCGGTAACGAATGCGCTATGGGCGAGCAGAACGGTCTCGGTGCGTGTGGGTGACGGGGTGTACGAGTTGAGCTTGGTCAGTTTGGCCAAGGCAGACTCGAAGCTGATGACAAGGTCCTTGGCTTTGGTGATGAGATCCTGCTCCTGGTCGCCGTCCCGGCTGAAAACATGTGTGGGGTGTGCCAGAATAAGGTACGAGGAGAGGAATGTCCTAACGGCGGCACTACGGGGGGCTGGGTCTGCGTCGGGTAGTAGCACAAACAGCGTCATGATCCTATCAGTCGTCTTGAGCAGCTTCTCATCTGCGAGCATGCCAGTGATAACATCGAAACTGGTCTCTTGCACCATCTCAATCGACAGACCGAGTTTCAGCCATTCTCTAACAATATCGCGCCTGACCTTTGTTCGCCAGGCGGCCTGGATCCTCTTGGCTGCGTCCTCGATGGTCAAGACGGGCCGCTGGGTGCGTGGTTTTAGACTGGCTGGAGGCGAACTGGCGGTCCTTGGGCGTCGGGGATTGCGCTTGTATTCCAGTCTTCTCTTCTCGGCCTCGGCCAGTTTCTCCTCCATTTCCATGCGATATCTCCGCTCTTCGGCAGCCTTGCGCTCCTTCATGTCTTCAGCAATCTTCTTGGCCCTCCTCACTTCCTCGGCACACGAGGCGGCAACCTGTGCGAGGTGCTTCTCGCGGGCCTGTTTTGCCGCCAGGGCTCGCTCTTCGCTGTTGGAGCCACGCGGGGCGGCCTTGGCCAAGGCAGCACGCAGCCTGACCTGCTCGGCATGTGCTGCGCGGTCTGCCAGTCTTGCCTTGCGATCCTCGAGTATGGAGGCGCGGCGGAGGTGCTGCGCGACTTGGTGGCTCTGGCAGTTGTTGCGAAACGATCGGTTCGATGTGTGCGAATGCGTCGAGGATATGGAGTTGCGGCGCGACGATGCGGCCGACGACTTGCGGCGGTTTGCGGAGTGACGATAGAAGCGTGCGGCGATGCGTGGTGGAGGGGCAAACGACTCGCCGTTCTCGGCATCTGATGAGAGGATCATGTCGGGCTCCTCAGGAATGTCGTCGTTGTTGCCCCGCAGTTCGGAGCTGACGAGCTCGAGCTCGGAGTCGGTAAGGGACATTATGTATGGAGACGAGCGTGTTAGGGGTTGCGCGAGTGTGTCGAGTTCCGAGGGGAGAGCGGCCAGTCGTGGTGGTAACCTAAGAGGTGAAACAAAGCACGGGCTCGGTGGTAGTGCTCGGTGCAGTAAGCCACAGAGGCTAGTCTATGCAAGTAATAGACGGCTTCGTCGCGCGAAGATCAGAGATAGCCGAGTGAAGGCGGCAATCGTCTCTCGAGAGGGGCGCGCCGTCAGCGGGCAAGGCGGGCGAGATGGGCTGGTGGGTGAGGTGGGCGGGTGAATGGCGAGCGCATCCAGGACGCCGGGGGGGGGGGGTTGGGCGGCGATGACAGGCGGGGCAGGGATGCACTGCGACTTCAGGGCAGCCGGGCAGAGGCACGCGACAGGACTTGTCGCAGAGGGCAGAGGGCAGAGGGCAGACGCGGTGGCTGGGGAGGTGTCCATGAACATGAATGTGCCTGCCTGGCCCACACAGAAGATGACGAAACATGAATGCGCAGTAGAGCCGCGTGCTGACCGGCCGCCAAGACTCTGCCCGCGGCAGCTAGCAAGTTCATCGAAGATGATCGACACCGCCCAGCCACCCACTCCGCATTTTGTTTTGTCGTGCACGTCGAAGATCTCCATCTGGACCGCTTTCAGCGTGCCAACGTCTGGTAGTCCAGAACCGCAGTCTGACAGGGCCGTTGACTCACACTGGCGCCTGGTCGGTCCGGGAGACCATGACATGGGATGCCTGAAACCGGCTTGCGGCTCGTGCTGGCGAAGTGAATCATCCAAGAGTAGCAGCGCATGCAGCACATGGGAGAATCAGATACCGAAATTCACTACACACCCAGTTGTGCCAAAAGAAACCACGGTTGTCCATTCGTGGTCACTTTTCACTCGATGGCTGGAGACTGAGGGTGTGCCTTCACCCACACCAACATGCCGTTACCTGATCGTGCTCAGCTAGGGAAAAGCAATGGATATACCAATCACCGTTCTTGTCGACCCTACCACACTCAACGTCAAAGGTGGCGCCAGGAGATTTGGAATATTTATTGACAAATACCTTGTTCTTGGGCCTGTTCCGAGACATGGACTCTCATACCGGCATAGGGTGGGGAATTGGTTTGTATAGACAGTATGTGTGGAGAAATTCTTATCATGAAGAGTATCTGAGTGAAGAGTAGATTAGCTGGTCATGCTGTAGAACAACAGACAAAGACTAGGTTTACCCATCTGGTTGGACATGCTTTGAGAAGAATGTGGAAGATTAAATATGGTTAGATACCAATCTTAGGCGAAAGAGACTATGAAGGAAGAGGAGCAGTGCCCAGCTCTCTCTATAATGTTGCAGATCTGCCTGTTGCAAAAAGTACCGTATCTCCTAGAATGCGGCCAGCTATAATGTCGAAGAGGAAAGAGAACTCATTCCCTAACCTCTTCGACTATAGACTAGATATACTACAACATATTACAAGCGTCATCAAGCATCTGTCATGCCGAGATGCAAATGAAAAAGAGCGCTATTATGGAACAAAGTAGTTTCTTCGGGTCTTTCATCAGGGGTAGCAGAAACTCTAGTGCGATGAGATGCGATCTTGAATAAACAGAGTTGAGGCCAGCCCTACGCGAGGATGGCTATCATAAGCATGAAAAATAACAAGATGCTATTCCCAGCAGGGGGATCTGGTAGTAGTAGCTTGCGTACCCTTGAATGGGGACAGCAATAGAATCACAAACAGACTGCATGTATCCGACGTGCGTACTTTAAGAATTCGTGACTATGATACTGTCGCAGTATGGATCAGGCCTTGATCAACACTTGATACACCATATATATCATCAGTAGATCATAAGACGTGTTGATCAATGACTGGATATCTTTATATTAGCATATCTGTACATTTCAATAAATTTAAACGTTTTAAACGATAGAAGCAATCTGATCAATTCTCTCTTAAGCCAGCCACTTATCAATCTATCAACTCCCACAGGTAACATAGTGCACCTGATGACAATCACGAGATGGACTAAACATATACTAGTCTTTCCTTGATAGAGCGTCTTTACGTAATTAGACTAGTATGAACGCACGGCTTCTAACTTTGGCGGTTAAGCAGTTACATTTGATCACGGTTGAGGAGTCATTTCCACGGAGCGTACTTTGAGCCATGTATAGTGAAGTCGTTGATGTGTTTAAGAATTTCTCTCGGACGGTGATGTTCATCTGTTGAAGTTGATACTCCATGTATGCCTTTTTCTTCGTTCTCGCCTGATCCAGAAACTCGTTCCCATGCTGGAATTTGGAGAGTGCGTATAGATATACATGATATGCGTTAACACCCACAAGAGAATAGGTGACAGGCGACTGTATTGTTTGGATCAAGGCATTGGTAAATCTCATACCTATATGTTACATGCTATTTGTAGCTATGTTGGTAGATTTTGCTAAGCATTCATATAGTAAGATACTTCTTAGGGAAACTTATTGTTGTAGCTATTACATGCAGATTATCTATGCAATACGTATCTGGTGACACACCTGTTACAAAAGAATTGTAACTGTGTACCTGATCCATCCTGGAGCATATATGCAGATAAGAGTACTGCTGCATTTGAAGATATTGTGAAAAATTAGGGCAAGGTTTATCATGTTCGCCATTCCGCTAACTCAGTCTTGGATGATAAGAGGCAGACAGTGTGAGATAGAATCAATGGAACGATCAAAATAGGGAGAAATGTTGCTAGTATCTCAAACGCGAAAGAGGCCTAGAACAGGCTTTATGATTGTAGGTGTTGGTTTGAGAAAGACGGTGATTGACTATGCATCTGCGTGCTGTAATAATAATAATAATAATAGGTGTTGAGGCTTCGTCTAGCACAAAAATCTCAAAATTTTTACTTGTATTTGCACTTCTGTCTCGCGTTTCTGAAAGTAAGTTTAATGTTGAAGCAACAGACTGCACGACATGGTAGAGTACATGGTACATGAAAAGAAGCAGCCAAGGCACTATGCATATCCGCTACCATTAACACAGTCAAGGAGGCGTGGTTTTCCAACGTGAATGCTTTGAAATGCACGAGTGTCTAGTAGGCATGGAGGAATGTTTTCACAAGACGGAATTTCTCGAGCATTTGTATTCAGCAAGAGTTAGATATGTGCAACTATTGCGTTGACAACAGGCTTGGTATCTGGAAGAGAGAATAACGAAATAAGAAACAGCGCAAGAAGATGAACACTGTGTTCTTGTTATCTTGTTAGGTTATAATAGATAAATGACATTAACGTGGTTCATAAGCGAGTCGGTCACCCAAGCGAGTCGGTCACCCAAGCGAGTCGGTCACTCCCCACCAGCGCGTCGGCGTTGATACTACAACGCGTTATGTCTCAACAACACAACTATTAATTAACTTATCCTAAATTAGATCTTTAACTTGCTCTTTTTAATATCCAATTACAACGTGTTTAAAGCTAAAGACGCGCTGCCTCTATCTATAACGTGCCTTAAAGTACAATATCTGATCGACAGGCTGGAAAGCGCCCCCGACGCGACTGTGAACCGAATTCAAAGCGCCTAAATAAGTTAGAAGAGGAGGCTATTATTAGACGTATTTTTGAAGAGTCTGCGCGTGGATTTGCCCCTACAAAGGCTGAGGTTCGAGCAATGGCCAATAAACTGTTAGAGGAGCGTGGTGGCAACCCTATTGGCAAGAATTGGGTTGACAACTTTGTTAGGCGGACTGCTGAGCTCCGTACGCGCTGGAGCCGTCCCTATGATTACTAGCGAGCCGCCTGCGAGGACCCAGTGGCTATCCAGCGCTGGTTTGACTTAGTCCAGGCGACAAGGCAGAAGTGGGGTATTGTGGACGACGATATCTACAACTTTGACGAAACTAGCTTTATGATAGGCAAGATTTTATTACAGTTATTAATCACAGGCTTAGAAGGATATAGGAAAAAGAAGCGGATACAGCTAGGCAACCGTGAGTGGGTTACTGTGATCCAAGGCGTGGGCGCGTTGGGTCGCCAGATACCACTGTTTGTTGTCTTTGCGGGCAAGGTGCTTATTAACGTCTAGTTTGAGAATTTGCTTGCTAACTAGGTTCTTAAAGTTAGTCCTAATGGCTAGACGAATAATTAGCTTGGTCTTGCCTAGTTAGAGCACTTTAATACCTATACAAAGAGCTCTACTGTAGGTGGGTATCAACTACTTATTATTGACGGCCATAAGAGCCACTGCTCCATCGAATTTCAAGATCTTTGCAAGGAGAAGAATATTATTCTTCTCTGCATGCCTCCACACTCGTCTCACCTGTTGCAGCCCCTTGACGTCGCCTGCTTCTCGCCATTAAAGCGCAAGTATGGCGACGCTGTTTCAGGCTTGGCACGCAACCGCACCCACTATATCAGCAAGGAGACCTTCCTACCAGCCTTTAAGGCTGCTTTTGAGCAGTCTATTACAAAGGAGAATATCCAAGCTGGCTTTAGAGGCGCTGGTCTAGTCCCACATGACCCACAGGCTGTGCTATCTAAGCTTGATGTAGTGGTGCAGACGCCAGTACAATCACCACGACGGACAGCCGCCTGGCAGGCGCAGACACCACGCAACGCGCGCGAGGTTGAGGCTCAAAGTACTCTTATTCGACAGAGAGTAAGAAACCGCCCTAGGTCTTCTGCAAATTCTCTTGACGAGAAGGTTGTACAGCTAAGTAAAGGGGCTCAGCAAATAGCACATGAGATGACGCTTATGAGGGAGGAAGTAGCTGCTCTTCGAGAGGCTCTAGACACAGCAAATAAGCGTAAGAGCCGCAAGCGGCGATACGTACGGACAGAAGAGACTCTTACTGTAGGCGAAGTACAAGAAGTATTAGCTGAACAGGCGGGTAGCAGTCGTGGTGATGGTGAGAGTGCGTCGAAGAGGGTGCGAGGAGAGCGGCGGTGCGGGCGTTGCAAGCAGACTAGACACAACGCTCGTACCTGCGTAGTTGAGATAGATAGTGTAAGTGATAGTAGCGATTCTAACAATTAATTTGGTATATTGCAATAGTTTATTGACTATAATAAAAGACTGTGATAACGTGTCAACGTCGACGCGCTGGTGGGGAGTGACCGACTCGCTTGGGTGACCGACTCGCTTATGAACCACGTTATGCATTTTTACCCTACAAAGAATATTGAATATAGGCCAAAGCAGCAGCTTACCAATTACATACTGTTATTCCATCATGTCGGAGACTACGACGTGGTCTTTCCAATTGAAGTTGATTGACAAAAAAATAACTATATAGATAAAGATGCATAGAACACACTTCCTGACAAGGTCGAAGATGTAATATGATGTGGTGTAATGTATTGCATTTATCGTCTCTACTTACAAGCTCCCGGGGGCATGTGGACAGAGCCAAGCTTATAGCAGTATCGAGATGCCCAAGGTGGCTATTTACAAGGGTTGTGCGTTCTATCTACAGAGACTCAGTCTTTTATGCAACTCTAGGTTGTTCGGTTTGAGAAGTGGTGATTGTATGCAGGAGTGTGAGGAATGCGGAGAGGGTTTGGTTACAATATATTAAGTTGTGAGTAATATCAAGGTTTGGAACTAAATATGAGAAGAAGATTGACCGGTTTCATAATGGAGATCAGAGGTGAAGAGAGTGGTCGTGGTTGGCATGTCTGAGCACTAGATACAGCACATGCCATCCTTTTGCAGCAAAATGCATGACCAAAGCCCAAATGCAACGCAACGCAACACCGTGGTTCCCTCAGGCAGCTGTACATGGAGTAATTGCCTCAAATTGGAGAGATTTTCCTCAAGACGTGAAAATTGCCTCAAGCAGCGGTGCACGTGTCTCTGCCAGCAACAAAGAAACATGACTCTGTGGCGTGCGGCTGAGTAACCACGTAGCAGGGCCGTTTTGACTGGCTGGTTGGAATATTGAAAATTTGCAAGAGCGACGAATCAAACACGGTACTAGCATCACGTGGGAAGTGAGACTTTGTGGTGGAGATGAGCTGAAGGGGGAAAAGTAACAGTAGGCGAAAAAAAAGACATGACAACAGCAGTCGAGACATGGCCGTTGTACCAATTGAGTAGGTGTAAGCAGGCTGGAGTGCTGGCAGGCCTTGGGCGAGCGAGTGCAATCTCCGCAAGAGCAAAAGAAGCAATGTGAATGTGGCCAGGCAGGCGTGAAATTTTGCAGAGCAGTTGTGTTTGAGCGGCCATGTGTGGGCCAAGGATGCTGTGGTCTCAACATTGTCATTGCAATATTGAAGCTGGTCAAGTTTTGCTAGGCAGTGGCGCGGAATTAGGCGGGCAGTGCAGATTTACCCGGAGCGTCATCGGTGTGTGAGGGTGGGTGTTTTTCTTCTTCTCGCTGTGAGTGGTGTTGGTGCATGGTGTGAGGAAGGGTTGGTAGTGTAGGGCCGAGGACGTGTGCCGACTATCCAGGATAGCCATGTCGGCAGGGGTTGCATGTTGCGTAGACCCCTCACGGACGATGGAGATGTTGAGTGAACTGTTGCTAGTGCATGCAGCAAGTGATGGCATATATGCAGAGAGGGAAAAGGGCATCTGGCGGAAAAAAAAGTAATCATGACCAGCGGATTACAGGGTAGGCGGTTGTCGGGATAAAAGACTGGGTGCCTGCGTCATGCAGTGCAGGAAGCGGCAAAAAGCAACCATGGCGATTGGGTAGAGTACCAAGATGGCATGATGAAATGGACGAGATTTTTTGCAGTGGACCGAGAATATTCTAGACCGTGGTTAGGGTGACAGAAGTCTCTTCAGGCCTATCGGGGATGCATTACGCAAGAGGAAAGCAGCGGATTACCCCAAGCGTCTGGACCAGTGGAGATGGACCCAGAGGAAAAAACGGGGTACAACCGGTGAACTTGGGGTCTTTGCGAGGGGGGAGGACAGACCATGGGTAGAGTTTTCAGAAAATTTGAGTTGTGCTGTAGACGTGGTGTGGCGTCAGCACGTGTCATGGCACGTGTCGATGTCACTGCTTGAGTTTGCTGGTGCTCGCATCTGGGGGTACAGGGCGTAGATGCTACGGGGGGTTTTCACGTGATGGACAGGCCGAAAAAAGCAAGTAGAGGGTCGCTGTGTGGTGGCGGTGGAAGCAGGAGCGCAGCATGTGCAGGGAGAGGCGGTCAGGGCGAGACGGTGGCAGAGCGGTGGCAGCAAAGTCGAGGTGACGGCATGGAGAGGAGGCCAAGGAGATGCGAGGAGATGTGGATGCGAGGATGCGAGGATGCGAGGGGGAAGCGAGGGAAGCGAGGTGGAGAAGGGTAGCTATCGCAATCGATAAGTGGATAAGACACGACAGGCAGGCACCAGCAGGCACCAGCAGGCACAGGCAGGCGGGAGCCGCGCGGAACGGCAGCCGCCCAGTCGGACTTGTGCGCAGCTGCAGGCGCCCCACTGTTCATTTCCAGTGCGTCTGCATTTTGCATGTGGCCGTGGCCGTGGCCGTGGCCGTGGCAGTGGCCGTGGCAGGCAGAATGCCATGGCAATGGTGCCCGAGGCCCGGAGCAGGCGACATGTCAGCAGCAGCAGCAGCAGCGGCGGCAGCTTCTGTTGCACTTGGGCTCCACTGGGCGCTGGCACCAATCGACAGGCGGCGGATGCAGAATGCAGAGGCTCAAGCAGCACAAGGGCTGACGAGGCCGCCGCCTGGCACGCGCCCGGCCGTGTCGCTGGCTGTCGTCAACCGGGGCCCGTACGCCTGCGAGAGCGGGGAATGGCGCGAGTCGCCCGGCACACGTGTAGCCGAGGGCCGTGATGCAGTGCAGAGAGTGCGCGCGAGAGTGCGAGAGTGCGAGAGTGCGCCCATGGCCTCGTCTTGCTCGACTCACACTGCCGTATACTCTGGCCTGCCCTTGACCCGGCCTTCACCCTCAGCTGCCAGCCGCCGTGCCCCTGGCGGGCTGAGGCTAAAGACGCAGAGATCGTCAGGAACAGCGCTGCCATTGGCTCCCACGTCGCCCCCAGCCTTGCCGCTTGCGGCCGCATGAAACCGCGCACCCCCGCCCGCATGCGATATTTTGATGCCCTGCCTCATTTGGCTGCTGTACACACACTCTCTCTCTCAGCCTGCCCGTCAGCGCACAGCAAAACCACAAAAATAAAAGACGCCGTCGCATGACCTGCCTGAACACGCACAGAAGCAAGTGCGAGGGCGGGCGTGGGTGCGAGTGCCAGTGTGCGCAATGCCCCAGCGTGCAGCGGCTGCTGCGCCCACTGGCGAATGGCCGCCCTACACCTACATACACATGCAGCAGCAGCAGCTGTTGAGCGCGCCAGGGACACGACGCCGTTCCACCACCGCCCGGCCCGGCGACGCAGCGCCACACCGACCCATCCTGTCTGCAACCAGGCGTGCACACCCGACGTCGACGCGACTGCGACTGCGACCGCTCGGCGTCGTGCGGCGTCGAGCTGTGTGTGTGTGTGTGTGTGTGTGTGTGTGTGTGTGTGTGGATGCGAGGCCCTGCCATGCCATGCAACCGGCCAGGCACGTTGCTAGCTGCTACTATGCTGGTGCTAGTGCTAGTCTTGGGGCTAAGTAAGTCGGCGGCCCGTGCCCGGCCTGGCTCGCCGCCTAGCGTCGAGGCTCGTGTGAACCCACGCCTCCCACCCTCCCTCTGCTAGTCCTCTCCACCACACTCACGCTCTCTTCTCTGTTCGGCCTTTCCTTCTATATTTCCCTCCTTTCCCCTCCCTCCTGTATCATTCTTTCTGCAGGCTTGAGGCTTACTCTTCATTCATTTGGCTCACGCTCCCTCAAAGACTTTGTGTCTTACACTCCTTGTCAACGCGACATCATACACCCACAACACTCGAGCTGCTAGCCAGTTCAGTCATTCCCTGCCCATATCTCTCACTCAACAACATACCCATCACCACGCCTTGCGCCGTGTCAAACAAACCAAAAACCCTATCCGATAACAACACAAACTCCTAAAAAACACAAACTCCAAAACCAAACTCAAAATGAAGGCCTCCACCGTCCTCTCCGCCCTGCTCTTCGGCACCATGGCCGCTGCCGCGCCTTTCGACAGGCGCGCTCTCGTCTACAAGACCGAGATTGTCACTGAGACAGTCGTTGTCTACACCACCGTCTACGGCGACGAGCCTGCTGCCTCTACGCCTGCTGCCTCTCCCACTTCCAGCGCCGGTGCCTTTTACGAGCAGCAGAAGCCAGCCCCGACTAGCTCGCCCGCGGGATACCCAGCTGCTTCGCCCTCTGCTGCTCCTCAGCCCTCTCTCGCTCCTCAGCCTTCTCCTGCTCCTGCTCCTGCTCCCGCTCCGATTGCCAGCCCTCCCGCTGTCAACCCTCCCGCTCCCAGTCCTCCTGCTCCTAGCCCTCCTGCTCCCAGCCCTCCTGCTCCCAGCTCTCCTGCTGCCCCAGCCTACACCTCAGCAGTCGAGATGCCCAGCCCAGCCCCAGTTCCCTCTCCTTCTCCCTCCCCCCAGCCCCAGCCTCAGCCTGCTCCCGAACCTCAGCCGGCTCCCGAACCTCAGCCGGCTCCTGAGCCCCAGCCTGCTCCCGAGGCTCCTGCTCCCTCTCCCAGTCCAGCCAAGGTCGAGGCTCCTGCTCCCGCTCCCAGCGCTCCTGCTCCTAGTGCTGCAGCTCCTGAACCTGCCACTGGTGGGTACGCTTCCACCACCTCAATTGCTGCTGGCCTGAGCTTCTCCAACGTCGACATGACCGTCTACGACAACACTGGTGCTCCCGGTGCCTGCGGTGTCAACCTCACCGACGACATGCTGGTTGTTGCCATTGCCCAGTCAGCCTGGGACGCCAAGGGTGGATCTACCTACAATGTCATGACGGGCGCCTCCAGCAACCCATGGTGCGGAACCGAGATTGAGGTCAAGTACAACGGCGCCTCGGTCAAGGCCAAGATCCTGGACCTCTGCCCCGGCTGCAAGGGCCCCGACGACGTTGACCTTTCGCGCGGCGCATGGAAGGCCCTTGGTCTCACCGAGGCCACCCGCCTCAAGGCCTCGTGGTCCGTCGTCTAAGCTGCCCCTCATAGCACATCACAATCAAACCACTACCCAAATACCCAGATTCTGATATCTCGCTAGCGCAGGCCGGGTCAGCGCTTCTAACGACCATGTTACGATTTCTTCTTCTGTTCGCATCAGGCAGGCACCGATGGTTGGAGTCTATGGAAAGGAAGCTACTTGTTTGCTTTTCTGAGGTTGCCGTCTGGGATTCGCCCCGCCCCTCTCTCACGTTGTATGCGCGGGGGATGGCTACGGGGATCCAATGAGCTCTCCTTTTTGACCACCTTCTTTTTACTGTCACTCGTTTAACCGGCAACTTGGCTGTATATCACGTGCAGCTCAAGCACGCTGGAAATCATGTATCATCCATTCACTTCAATGTACACAAGCTTCAGGGATCAATGGTCTATGGCACAAGTTCTGTTTTTAGATATCCATATACTCGATATTCTTCGAGCACATCACAATGACAATCAGGGCACCTGCGCGCACCATTTGCGACGCATGGTGCACCCCAAGATTCATGGCCACCAATTTCCTCTGTGCACATCGTGATTTCCCTTTTTTTTTCCTTTGGCTTGCCAACGCCCGACGCACTGTCCTTGTCCCAAGTCCGCCCCCCGGCCATGTCCCCAACCAATCGCCATTGCTTCCGCCCAACTGTGCCATCACCGGCACACACACACCAGTCTCAATACGAGCCAAGTCCGTCCCAAACACGCAATCCAGTCCCTTGCCTCGCACTCCTGTTAGGCCAGCATAAGACCCAGCTTACCAAAACGAACGCGCAAGCACGGAAACAAGGCACACAAAGAAACGGTTGACTCGCGCGCCACATCATTCCACTGACACACACACGAGTCCCAAGGCCAAACAAGACAAGTCAAGACGAGCTGAGGCGAGAATATACGACGGCTCCTTGTCACATGGATATTGCCGATGATGCTGATGAGCTGAGATGTTCCTCTGCTACTTCTTCTACTGCTACTACCGCTACTAAAAATGACCATTGCCAGAATAGCAACTCGGGCATGGCCGTCGCTGTGGCCGTAGCACCTGTGGCTGTGCAACACTGCCATTGTCCAATGCCCACGCGCCCCCACCAAGAATACGAGCACGGCCGGCCCAAGGGAGGCGGTGACGTTACATACGGTTCTGACGGTACTGGCCGAGTGCGCGACAAAAAAAAAGGTCCGAGGTTTATCCTTTGGTTGTTGTTGTTGTCATGCTCCTCTGCTGTATCCGTCTGGCACATGTGTCTGTCTTCCGACCTTCCGTTCCGGCTTGCACATACATCATGCCCAACCTAGCCTAATCCAAGCTATTCACCCGAACGGAAACGAGGGGAGATTTCGTCTGCAAAACAAACGCTTGTTACACTAGGACCAGGGCTGTTTGCAGTTTTGGCGTGCAAAACAGCCCGAGGTTCCGCGGGTTTCCCACTCACCCACACACCAAGTAGGGATACGCACACCCATGTCAGGGATGCCATGCCATGTGTGGCAACCCCCGCAACCCATGTCCACCAACTTCTCCCATCTTACTCCCCCTCTTCTCTTTTTTGTTTCTCCTGTCTTTCCCGACTAGAACAGGGTGGGGTATGATAGGAATGCGGATACGCATCAGGCAAGCCGAATCAACACAAGGCATGCAAAACTTTATCTTTTTGTGAGGGGTTAAGTAAGTAAAGTAAAGAGTACACATGCAGACATGGTAAAACCTCAGGCAATCAAGAAAAAAAAACACAAACATCTCAAACAACACAACGCGGACTGGGCGCGACACGAAACACAGCGCGACAAAGGATCGACATAATGAGTGCATGTAAGAAAGAGAAAGAAAAAAAATGGGGACCTGTGTAAGTGTATGTGTATACACGTGTGTGATATGTGTTGAAACAAAGCCAAAAGTGCCAATGTCACTTGTTTTTGAAACTGCGACAGCGACAGCCGTGTCTCCCTGTGTACACGATACCTACCTACCTACCTACATACGTGTGAGTGTGAAGAATTACGTACACAATACACAAGAAAGTAAGTAACAGCCTAAAAAGCCCAAAGTTAAGGGGGCGAGGCGGCACCTTGAAACGACACAAGGTTTTTTTTATCACATCATCCCCGCTCCTTTGCGCCTCTCTTTTTTCCTCTTTTCGTTTTCTTGCGGAGTCCCTTTTTTTCTGGCGCGTTTCCGCGGCCTTGGTCTGGTGTTTCAGAGTGAGACTTGGATGCTGTGAGATTTTGGTGGTTTGGGTACTGGGTGCCTCAGGAGTACATAATTGTAGTAGTAATGGTGGTGGTGGCAGTGGCAGTTTAAGGGGCGCGCGCGCGTATGTATGCATGTGTGTGTCTGCGTGGCTGAAAGAGTCGCTGTCCTGTCCCGCGGCCAGGCGACGCGCTGCCGTGGTTGCAGGGCTAGGCTGTTTCACGATAAAGTGCAAGGTAACATGCATCCAGTTAGGAGGTTTGGTGCAAATTGACCCTGGTATGGTTCATCCCTCTGCATATGCACGCCTGTTCGTCCTTTTTTTTTTCTCTTTGTTTTTGTTTTGCATCTTTGTTTGTGCTTGTGCTTTTTGTTTTGCAGCGGAGCCGGCACGCGCGGGGTAATGCATTGCGATAATGATAATACTAGAGCATGTACATGGATGAGCAAAATTGATGTCATTGGTCCATGTCCCAGCAGCCCAACGACGCAATTATTACGAATTACATAGGTATGCGGAATGTAGTCGCCCAGAATAAAAATCGCTGTCCTTGATGGATAGATTCTGCATTTTGCAGGACTACCACCAGCCGTAGTCTGAAATTCCCCCGCAACGAAATAACAATGGCTGATCGCCTCTCCCATTCTCTCGACGAAATCGAATCCCACACGCATGCAATCAAGCAGCAGGATAATGACGAGACAAATATCGAGTCCAAGAATGGCGAGCAGATTCAGCCAGGAGATCACGTGTATACACGTATCCGGGGCGGCCGACATGAAGGAAATGTATGTTTGTTCCGCATTAAGCCATGATCCACTCATGTTTCCCTACCGTGCAGTAGTAGCTGCAGCCGCTGGGCACGAAGAGTTCGCAGTAGTTCAGACTGCTTGGGCGAAATTAACAAGTGACTAGGTAGACAAGGTTGTCACCAGCGAAGAAGAAGCCGCCAGTGAAGGAGTGAAGAACCCACCAAAGGTACATACATGCATTTTATTCACCGAGCAATGCAGCACAGCTGATGCACAGACAAAACAGGTGCTTTTCACAGACCAAAAAGGGAAAAATGTAGCGCACAATCCCAGTACTTTGGACGTCACGTCCAACAACAAGCAAAACACGTCATAACGTGACTTGCGCAATTAGCGACATGTACACTTAGATACACACACACACCTGTATGGGGATACGATGTGTAAGACAGGCGAACCCAGCCCTAAGTAGTCGTACCTGTCTCATACAACGCTATAAAGAAATACCGCAATTAGGGTACACAAGCCAAGGACCCAAGAAAGACAGACAAGTAGTTTTTTAAAAAAAAATCCCCGCATTATATCGATTCCCAGAAATCTTACTCATCTTATCTTACCTGCTTATTGCCCGTGGCCCCCCAGTACATGTGCGCATATTCGATCCAACTGACATGCAGGTAACACCAGCATACCTTACCTGGCTGGGGCTTACGGTACCTTACCGTATACCAGCCTCCTCTACCCTGTCCATGTACGCATATGTACATGGCTAGATGGATACTATAGATTGCCGCACCTCACCACCGCAATCTCCATGTCGCTATTTTCTCACCCATGTCTCTCCATGCACACAGCCCATTGCCTCGATTTGCCTCTCATGGCAGCACAGCCTTTCCCCATGTCCAGATATGTTACATGGAATTAAAAGCTAGTAGTGTGTATCAGCCACCCCTCCCCACCAGCAGCATGCACGCTTCCATGTAAACTCTAAAGGAGATTGCGATTACGCATTCATACACACACACATACGCCGACACTCAGGCGCGTTTAAGATTACTTAGTGTATTGGCTATTACAAACAAACGTTGACTGAGAGAGGAGAGAGAGAGAGAGAGAGAGAGAGAGAGACAAAAAGACGTCCAATCATTTTTTTAACCGGTGGGACACGCTGCGTTCAACAGGTATTGGCGCAGAAGTTGCCGGATGCAGTAATAAGAGGGAGGGAGGGGGGGGAGGGGGGGGCAATAATTGCTGTCTTTTATACCTACCTACCTTGGGTCTAAGAAAAATCGTACGTAGTAGATAAATGGATAGAGACACGGACGAATATTGGAAGTGGGATGGATGCAAAGGTGGCAAATTCAATACTACTGTACATACTATGTCTCGGAGTATTTCGAATGCGCAGGAGGAAGGAAGGAAGGAAGAAAAAAAACAAGATTTTTTTTTCCTTTCTTATCGAAAAGTCTAGACTCGACGGCTTATCTATCTGTTGAATTTTGCTTTAGAGCGTGGAAACTTGGATTATTAATGTGGCTTTCACATACATACACACAGGCATGCAGCAATTGCTTTTTTTTCTTGCAAAAAAAAGAGAGTGTCTCCCACAGGTAGATTGGCGATGAATTGGCATGTGCGTGGTGGGGGGTTTACACGCGCGTGTCGCTGCACCATGGGCGTGCCGAGGTTGCGGGCCAGAAACGACTGGCTGGCGCATCAACGGCTACTGCCATGAAGCCGAAGAGGCTCCGAGTTGACTCCGCACCATCGGTCAGCGCGTGGGGCAGAGGGGCACTTGCGTGATCACATCGTATGATGGTGTTCTTTTGCCTGTGATGGCTACATGTTGCATGTGCATATCGGTTATCATGCCAAACAGCAAAAAGTTTGAGGCCATAGACGTTGCGTGTGCGAGCCAAAGTCAAGCAATTGACACTAAACAAGCGCCACCGCATCTGACAGCTTGTGACAGCTTCCTAGTGCTATTATCAATTGTTTATTGAATTCATGTTGAATAATGCCTGTCTCCATATCCCTAGACAATCCTGATACAGTTCCTATACAGTCCCTGCCAATGAAAAACAATCAAGTAAAGAAACCTCCAAAATCCATCCTCATGGGTATAGAATGAAAGCAACCCCAGTTGCCCTCGCTTTTGTCGCATAACCTCATGCAGTCTCGTGCAGTCAATCAATCCCAGTTCTTATCTCGTGCCCCGCACCCGGACGCGTGTTCATGTGCATCGGCATCGTCGGCGCCATCCGGGCGTTGTCCTATCGTCGCTCATGACAGTCGTTGGCATCTAGGCAAACTGGCTAGCACCTCCCGACTCGAGCAGCTCCATCTCGGCCTGTGTCCATGACAGCGTCTGGAAGCGCGCAGGCAGCTCGGAGCGATCAAAGAACAAGCCCTTTCCGGCCTCGACTGGCCCCAGGTTCCTACCAGCTGCGCCGCCAATGTGGCCGCCAACAAGATCGCGGTTTGCGTTGAGCGGGCCGTGCTGCTGGGCCTTTTGTCGGTATGCCTTGAAGGACGAGGGCAGCTCTCTCATGGAAGAGGCTGGGTGCACCTGCGGGGTGTGATCGACATCTGCACTCAGGCGTTAGCTATCGAGCAAAGGGCCGGGCTGGTGCACAACGTACTCTGGGGCGTGGTGCGCTTGCCCAAAAAGCGGATCAGAGGCTGGCGGTGAGCGAGTGCCCTGGTTGCGTTCATGGTGGAATGGGTAGTGTGACGAGGTGTCGTGTGTGGTGGTGGTGGTGGTGGTGGTGGTGGTGTGGCAGCGGCGGAGGAGAGATAGCGGAGCGTAGCACGTTCGCAAACGAGCCGAAGTAGGGCCTGGCGGGGTTCGGCGAATTTCGGGGTTGGAGGGCAAGACGGCAGTTGGGGCGTGTCGACGAGAAGAGAAGCGCCAGCGGTGACGGAGGAGGAATTGAGAGGGTTAGAGCAGGGAGAGCAAGAGGGAGGTTGGTGGAGGGGAGCCGGGCAGTGACAATGGCGCATAAATATTATTTCACGTTGGACGGAAACAAGACTAACGCCGACGCCGCTCGATAGGCCCCAGGCCAGGCATGTGGATGCACGCAGCCCCCCGTCGCTTTGCTCGGCCTGGTCTCCCCACGGTCGAACGAGCAGGCAGCAGAATTGCCCGCACACTGCATTCCGCACATCGCCAGTGCCAGCGCCAGCGCCATCAGCCCACGCAACAGCGTGGCATGGGCGGACGAGAGCGGGCGCCGGCGGGCCTCCGCGCACATGGTTCGGCTTCTGGGCCATAGCTCCTTGGGGCTGCGCCGTCCAGCCCGCGGCTCTCTTTTCTGTTCTCTGCAAGTCCATCCCTCCCCGCCAATTGAATCGCCGCACGCCTCCGCCCGCCTTATCGACCCCACGGCCCTTCTCCGCAGTCTGACGAGCGGGAATTGCGTATTGGTATTCGCTCCGTCCGTCTGCGGCCTTCCTGATCTGCTCGCCATGCACGAGCTCAACCTCTACGGCCAGGTCACCTTTGCCCGCTATGAGCAGGTCCTGAACATCCTGGCCGGCGTTGCGGCCATGCAGCCCCAGCGCATCTACGAGCGGCACATCATCTACAAGCCACTGCGCGAGCCTGAGGAGCCGGGCTCCAACCTGGGTCGCCGTGGCGGCACCCAGACAGTCGCCCAGAAGCAGGCAAAGCAGGCCGCCCCCGTCGTCCTGTACCACACCCAGCTAGTCCAGAGGTTGTCCGAAGATGCCTTTGCTGCCCACGGCGGCACCCCGCCAGAGAGCGCCCCGTCGCTGTCTGCCGATGTAGACGACGGGGACGAGCCCGCGTGGTCGTTTGTCTTCAAGGACATTCCCGACACGGGCGACCGAGGCGTCTCCATCCGCTTCACCAGCACAACCGACTTGCTGTCGGGCGACCCCCATGCCCACATGCTCGCCTCCGGGCCAAACCAGTCAGACCGCCTCCCAGCGTGATATCCATGCCCGTCTGACCAAGCGCAGGTTCGTCACCGAGTACTATGTCGAAGGCTATCGTTTCGTCCATGGCAACGTCGTCGTCTTCCTGCACCGCACACTGCACGAGCCTGGGGTTCGCAACATGCAACAGGCCCCCAAGACCACCATACCGTCGTTTGCTGGGCTCCAACTCCTGGATCCAAGTGGCGCGTACGTGCTCGACGCAACCGTGCAGATCGAGGACTTCAACAACGCGGCTGTGCTAGAGGCAGGCGTAAACGAGCTCAAGAGGTTCCAGACACAGATGAAGGGCTGCGTCAACCTGTTCTTGCCGGATCGTCTTTCCCAGGACCCTCGCGTCAAGTACAAGCCTCCTCCAGCCCCGGCCACCCAAGCACGGCCACGTTGAGGTCTGCGTCATGTTGATCCCAGGTGTTGGAGAAAATGCAATTGCCTAGCAAAAAAGTAAAGTGGCGATCAGAACAGGATACTATTGGCGGGAGTTAGTCCCATGCTTCTGGAAACATGATGTGTGATCAGACCCTTCTTTGCTTAAACTTTTGGAATCCCATGGTACGCTTTCGCTCCAAGACGGGATCTTGCGATGGCTTGGTTGCTGGAAGGGGTCTGGTAGAGCAGATGATTGCGGCTGAACATGACAAGTGCCAATAGTTGGGTAGTGTCTGAATTTAGATAGGAAAGTGCCGGACCAGCGCTAGCGGTGGTAATTGACGCTGTCAGCCGTTGGCGAGACAATAGTTGCATGTCCCGTGACCATGCCCTACCGATCAAGCACGTGCTTTCGCGACCTCGCGTCTCGTGTCCAGAGGGCAGGTGCAAGCGAGCAACCTCACCATTTGGCGTCGCAACAGCACAGTCACCAGGCCACCACTTTCGGCGACGACAAAGTTGCCACCACCATGACTGCGCAGCCGGCTTCACACAAACGAGCCATTTCCAATAGCAAAGACGTATCGCCGCCTTCATCGAAGCGACGACAGCAGTCCACGACGACAAGTGTGTAAGCAGTTGCACAAGACGGGCAGGGTCTCCTAACACCAGTCAGGCAAGGCGGTCGCAAACTTCTTCACGCCAGCATCCAAAAAAGAGCCCGAAAAGATGGTGTGGCGTGTCATCAAAAACAGCCTGCTTGTTGGGCGTTTTGGCGCTGCGACAAGTGCGCACTCAGGTGCGACGGGCAAGCGCAGGGTAGCGGCCTTTGACCTCGATTCCACACTGATCAAGTCTGCCTCGGGAAAAACATTCAGTCGCGATGCCAATGACTGGAAATGGTGGGACAGCAGCGTTCCTGGCCGTCTCAAGGAGCTCCATGCAGACGGCTTCCTGATTGCAGTCATCAGCAACCAAGGCGGCATCAGTCTCAAGCCCGACCCGAAGACGATCAAATCCGACCAAAAGCGTCTAGCCGACTTCAAGACCAAGGTAACGGCGGTACTCAGCCAACTTGATCTGCCCATTTCAATATATGCTGCAACGGGCCGAGACCAGTACCGAAAGCCCCGGACCGGCATGTGGCAGGAGCTATTGGAGGACCACGACCTAGAAGAAGGCGACGCTATCGATTTGGATGGTTCGGTATTTGTTGGAGACGCAGGTGGTCGCGAGGCAGCTGGAGGTGTTTTGAAGGACCATTCATGTTCAGACAGGTCTGTTGAAAAAAAAAAACTCCGCATCATGCATTGTTGAAGGTGGAGACTAACGGTGACTAGAGACTTTGCAGCTAATGTCGGCATACCCTTCCATACGCCAGAGGAGTATTTCCGGCAAGAAGAGCCAAGGCCGTTTGTGCGGACTTTTGACCCAACAAGCTTGGTGAAGGATCGGAATCAAGATTCAACACCTGCACGTAAGCTGGACATGATATGCAATAGCCGTCACACAGCTATGCAGGCTCTAACGTGGTAATAGCGTTCACGTTTACCAAGACGGCAAGTCCCGAAATGATTGTATTCTGCGGCAGCCCTGGAGCAGGAAAATCAACCTTCTATTGGAAACATTTGCAACCACTCGGGTACGAACGAGTGAACCAAGACCTTCTCAAGACTGTATGTGGCTGAGTGGGTCTGCTTTCTGCACGTGCCGTGCAACCTGTGTGCATTTTGGGTAACGTGTTGAAACAGCGCGACAAGTGCGTCAAGTCAGCCACGGCGCTCCTCCAGGACGGTACCAGTGTTGTCATCGGTATGTGGAGGACGGGAGCCAGACGATCTTGTATCCAAAGCTAACGGAACCAGACAATACAAATGCCGATGCAGCGACTCGAGGCGTGTGGGTTGCATTAGCGCAAAAGCTCCAGGTGCCGGTACGCTGCGTGCTCTTTACAGCCTCAGCCAAGCTGTGTGAGCACAACGACGCTTTCCGTGCGCTGAACATTGGGCTCGAGGTAAGTCTTTTTTTTTTGACGCGCCAATGGCTCGCGTAGGGAGAGGAATGCTGGGTTGGGGCCTGTTCACATGACCCAGGCCCATGGCTGGACTATCCTGATGGGAATGCGGATGGAGATCCATGCTGACGTCCCATGGCCACACACACAGACAAACCGCGAATCTCGTACCATGCTGCCGCACATTGCATTTAGCGGCTTCGCGTCACGATATAGCGAGCCGAGCGTGTCGGAGGGATTTGTCGAGATTACCAAGATAGATTTCCAGGTAGGCTTGCCATTTGATTTCACAGGTGTATGAGGTGGTGCAAGGCTAACCGAGACATGTGTGTGTGTGTGCAGTTTGAAGGGTCGGCGGAGCAAAGCAAGCTGTGGAGGCAATTCTGGACATGATTTCATGATTTGATGACCAATGTCAATGCGAAGACGGAGCAAAGGCAGCCCCACCGGAGCATTGTCAGCGATTACGACGCTGGTTGTGGGTGAGGGGGGAGGGAGGGGGAGGTGTTGCTTAGTGGAGGTGACGGCCGAGGGACAGCTATTGGATGGGATGGCGCAGGTACTCAGAATGGCTAGGTAGTGCTTGCTGAGGAGGCGCCCATGGGTCGCGCGCGAGTGTTCGCAGCGGTTAGTGCATGCCAAAATTAATTTTTTTTTCAACGCCGTTGTTCGTAGCGGGCTAAGGGGAGAGGGGTGGAAATTGGATGCGATTTTTTGTTTAATGAAGTGTGTGCGTGTGTGTGTGTGCATGTGTCGGGCGTTTTTTTTTCCCATGGTCAATGTTCTTGTTGATGCTCTCAGCACATGGGGAAAAGGTAGTGGCACGTGCCGAGCGCGGTGTTGCGATGGTCGGCGGCCTGTGCGGGGATGAGCAAAAAGGAAATAATATGCTTATAGGCATTGTATACGCATGTACGTGTGTACATGTATGAATGTATACATGACATGGCGGGTGTTGGCTGTGCGGCAATGGCACGGGTGGGGGCAAGATGTGCGGTCAGCTTGTTTTTGCAGGCGTCGTGTATTCCGTGTATACTGGGTATAGGGTGATGTACGTACTAGGCACATAGATGGGAGCGTCGGAGGAGCGGTTGAGCAAGGCGCTGCACGTCGGCGCCCAAGATGGACGAGGACGAGGACTTGGTGGAGGAGGAGGAGGAGGTGGTGGTAGTGCCACGTTGGAGCCAGGGCGCGCTAGTGGGATCAGCAGCGACTAGACGGGCCTGGACAAGGATGCGGCCACGAGCAGTCGGAACGTTTAATACGCGCCCTTTGGCTTGGGCGGAACATGCATGTGGGCAAATGCAAATGTGCAGCGCTGTGCATCTGGTTGCCATGCTTACATGTACATGTGCGCGCGCAAAAAAGCATGCGCCATGGAGGGCGACACGTGGTTGCTGGAGCATTGATCATGGCCGGATTAGTCTTTGCATTGCTACATATACACACGCACACACACACACCACACAGGCAAATGTAATAACAATCATTTGGAATAGGCGAGAGGCGCCAGGCGGTTTTTTTCTTGTTCATGCACGTGGAGCGTTGGGCGGCAGCGAGGGAGGGGGGAGTGGGAGATGGGCTGGCGCAAACGGTCTTCTCCCGTGGCCGCCCGCTTGTGCATGCCATGGCCGCCCGCGGTCTGGGCCAGCGCGGGCGGGCAGGGCGACACAGGTGCAAGAGGGCGCGAGAGAGCGACAGCTAGAGAGAGCAAAACGAGAGAGGGAGAGAGGGACAAGGTCGAGCAAGTGGGGCGGTGAGCTGCCGACTTGACACCGGAACCGACGCTATCCCAGCGCCTTTCGCCCTTGTCGTCATGGTGCGCGGTCCCAGGAGCCTGTCACCCACTGTGTGCCGCCCACGGAACGGGTATAGTCCTGGCCCAATATTCTGCTTCCTTGCCCTTGCGAGGGGAGGCCATGGCCCCCCGGACCACAGCACCACACACACACACATTCCATGCACACACGGCACGGCACGGCAATGAGGGCATTACACAGTAGCATCTGGGGAAAGAAAGAATCAAAGAACGAAAGAGAGGCAGAAAAAAATAATCTTGGACCATGAACCTTGTACAAACATACCTGCGGGCTAGTTTCACTGCAGTTGGGACTTGCAAAATGACGTCGCTACACTCGGCATCAGTCCCCCCCGAAACAAGCAAAACCGGGAAAGAAAGAAAGAAAGAAAGAAAGAAAGAAAGAAATAAAGAAATAAATAAATAAATAGAGAAAAAGAACAAGAAAAGAAAAGGCGACGACATGGACAAAGGGAGAGGCATTTCCGAGGACCGAATGGCGGTGGTGAGGTCCAAGGGTGGCGGTGAGGTATGAGGCTTGCAGCAGCGACGCATGCGGCCAAGGGGGGGAGGGGGGACCGGGTGTTGAGGCATCAAGGAAGGAAAGCATGCACATGAGCCGGGGAGAAGGAAAACATGTATAGTGCGACAGGGGGCGCCCTGAAAAAAATGGTCCCCCGATTTGTCTCGACGCCCGGCTGGCTTTTTTTAAATTTTTTTTCTTGCCTCGGGCTGGGCTCAAAGGTTGTGCCAACCTCGCTCCTTGGTGCGCTTGGTCAGGCACACACACACACACACACACGACACGGTGGGCGCGGCCTCACGTCGTATCGTGAGAGTGGTGGGCGATGGGCTAGTGCTTGACTCGTTTGAAACGCGGGCCGGCATGGTACACCTACGACGTGCACTCGATAAGCACGTTTTGAACACCATGAGGCTCAGACGACGGCCTGGTCTTTGTTTGTGTCGTGTCGTGTGCACAAGACGTGGCCTGGGGGGGGCAAAGAGTTTCGCTTGCTACGACGCGCCGTGGGCCTTGTGCAAATGAGACGGCAAAAAGCATGCAGAGACATGTCGCTGCTGCACCAACGGCACAAAAAATAAACGTTTGCGAGGGAACGGCTGCAGAAGTAATGTGCGAGGGTGCTGGCTATGGACTAGGCATGGGTGGGTCGGTGTAGCTCTCCCTCCCTCTCCCTTGCACCGCCTCGATAGACGAGTCTGTCAAGCGGTAGCCATGGTTGAGTCTGGAGTAGTAGTAGTAGTAGTAGTAGCACGACCAGAACATGGTCAACAACACCACCACCACCAAAGGCCAAGGCGAGCGCATATTCCTGCATGTCTCATGTTGTATGTCGTAGTGTGTATACATGCTACTCGGGCGCAAGGTGGGGGGGGGAGAGAGGGGGGAGCAAGACTCGGGAGCTGAGCAAGGCACTGACTGCCGTGTCCAGGCGATTGCAACGCAGACCAAGGCCGGGAAGGGGAGGCTGTTCGGTGGTGGCGCATCGAGGGCGGCCTTGTGTACCGAAGCGGACGGGCTTCCCCCCCTTGTCGTCGAAACCGGGGGGCTTTCACAGGTGCCGGCTGTGTCTAACCCGAGAGGGCTCTAGCGACGAGTCGGGGCGACGGTTTCTCGGTCGGCTTGGCTTGCAGTGCTGGTGCTGGGGCTGGTGCCAGTGCTGGTGCTGGTGTTGTGTGGTTGTGGTGTGCGTGAAAGGAGCCCTGCACGGGTGCTCGCCGCCCACACAAATGATGCAGTATATCCCACTCACGGCCACCATTTGCCCGCCGCCAGTCTCTCCCCGTCTGCCCACGTCAGTCGCCTGCTCCCCACGACCCAGAACACTCTCTCGCACACACACACACATACACGCTCACTCGCTCGCTCACACACGCGCACACACGCACCCTCTGTCGCTGCGCTGTCTGCTGCTGCCCTTCACCGGCGACGATTGTTGCTGCTTCGAGCCTCGCCGTCACTGCGCCCCCCCGGTATGCCCGACCTATCCCAGCCTCGCAGCCCTCACGTGCCGCCCGCTTGCCGACGGCCGCTGACTTTGTCTCTGCAGCATCACCACACGCCCACATCCACGCCCACGACGACAACACCTACGTGGTCGGCTTCGTGGCACCCCTCCCCACGCCCCGTCTCCTCGACCGCCTCTTTGCTCCCCCAGCCCCCCAGCCATAGCCTGCCCACTCCTGTCCTGTGACGGCGCCGTGCTGGGCTGCCACCTGCACGCGCACTTGTCCACGCCGCCTTGCCTTTTTCATCCTGGGGATGGGATCCCGGCTTCCGGCGCGCAAACTCACGTCACGCCCCGACCGCCTAGTACATACTACCACGACTGCCCAACCCTTCCACCTCCCGCTGCCGCTGCTGTTGCTGTTGCTGTTGCTGTTGCCATGCACGACCTCAAGCCGCTCGTCGTACCCCACCTTGCTGCCGCCGTTCGCAAGTCCTCCAAGGGCTCATTGACAATGTCTGAGGACCCTACCTCGTCCATCTACTCGACTGCCGACTCGGGCTTCTACTCTGCCTCCGAGTGCTCCACGCCGCCCACCCCAAGCCAGTACATCCGCGGCCACTTCCGCTTTCCCAGCTCCGCCTCGTCACTGTCGTCGAGCCCGCCAGCCTACGAGCCGCTCGAGGCCTCCAACAGCTCTGGCAAGCTGCCCAAACTGACCGAGGAGCCCTTTGAGCGTGAATACGACTACGTGAGCCAAGATGTATACCGCTGCTCTTGTAGGTGTTTTTTTTCTTCCTCTTCTTCTTCTTTTGTTTGCTTGCGACTAGATTAAAGTTTTGTCCTCGTAATGCTGACATTCTTGCCTTAGGCGACACCCAAGGTTCTTATGGCCACGCGCAACACTGCAGGATATCCAGAGCATACGACCCTCAAGACGAGTACTTTTCTACAGGCGACCCCGAACTGCGATTGGCAAAGCGACGACGGTCCCTCGAAGCATCCGCGCACAGCATCGCCGGCAAGATTGAGAGGCGCTTTCCCTCGTTGTCGCGCAGGGTGCGCGACCGCAGCTCGACGCTCAGCAGAGTATCCCGCAGTGCGACCCCCTCGGGAGTGTCTTCGACGCGCTCCTCGTCGCTCGCCGGTTCCCTCTACCATGTCTCGACCGTCGACCTCGCCCCAGAGTACTCACCGCCAACGTCTACACCTGCCCTGGCCGCCAGAGAGCATGTACACGACGACGCGCCCACGCCAATGGCCATTGACGTCGACAAGGCCAATGCCATGGAGTATGATGCAGAGGAGGTTGAGCGAGAGCGTTATGCAACCACGCCACTCTTACCGCCAATGCTCATACCGTCTCGGACCGAAGATGTCCCGGCTTCTTCGCCTCTGCAATCACCAGCAGTTGCTGACACGGCTCAGTCTATCGGCCAAATCCCCTTTGGCACGCCACCCACGCGCAATTACCCTACGCCGCCTCTGTCTTCAAGGCCATCGTGCACATCCATCAAAGGCTACGCGGTAGCCTCGGCCGACATTCCACCCCTGATGCTCGCCCGACCTGACGACAGATGGGCCAACATTCTGGGCCATGCCAACTTTACCATTCTCCCAGAGCCATACATTCCCGAGGTATTCGACGCAGCCGCCATTGAAGAGCACCTCGCCGAGTGGGCCCAAGCGCGGCGCAACTATGCAAAGCACCAAGTACGAACCGCCGAACACTACGGAGTGACATCCAAGCACTATCTTCTTACGGAGCAGAAATGGGAGGAAATTGACGCCGAGTGGAAGAAGAACCACGACCTTGCAAAGGCACATGCGGCGGCGCTTGGCGAGGAGCTCGCGCCCTATTCACCAACGGAGCCAGGGCCTCTGAGCCAGATGCCAACGCTCCATGACGCCAAAAGCGAGGGCAAGTTTCCGAAACTGGGCGACGAGGACATTGTCGGACCCATGCAGCAAGCCGCCGCACTACTCCCAAGTTCGCCTTCACGTAAGCGCGCATTCCTCAAGTTCCTTGGCGATCTGCGCTTCCCAAGGTCGTTCTTAGGCCGTTCGTCGGGCGGATCCCGATACCGCTAAAAAGAAAACCAACCATTCGACAGCGGGCGCTCCTCTCGTCCCTGCCTCCATCGCGCGCGACTAATGCGTCCGGTACCGCGCGCGACTGTACATTTACCTGTCTTCTTGGGCGTGTCCGGCCCAACCAAGACTGTTTCACGAAAGTACGAGTATATGACCAAAAGATACCGGCTTGTAAACGAAGCCACACGACTGCACGACTCATCAGAGTCACGAATTTCCTTTGTCCAAAATAAATCTTAGAGGGGTGTTTTCCTTTTACGCGCAGCCATGGTGGTCTGGCCATACTGCGCCTTCCCTTCAATGGGCTCTTCTTCCGGTGTTTGGGTCCAACAAAAAGCAATGCATGCTCGTGCATCGGGCGGACGGCTGCTTTCCAGCAAGACGCCATGATTTCACGCAGCATGAGCTCCTCAGCTAATTTCATTCATTCGTCTAATTGTTTTTGTTTTGTTTCGTGTTCACAGCCAGGGCAGAAACGCTCTTGGTTTTCGGCGGCTATACCTCTAGCCTCGTCCTTGTCTGGGACTCGAGGGGGGCAAGCGCAGTCGCGGGTCTTTGTTACCCTTTTTGGTAGGGGAAAGAAGCCACGGCGGCTTCTTGGGGATATAATTCAATGTATATTGATAACCTCTAATAGGTGCGTTTGGGGGGAAGGGAGGGGGGGGAGCGCGGGTTGGTTGTACGGGCTGGGGGGCTGGTGTATTTGTTGGTCTGTAGCACAAGGCTGTAAACCTGGCGCGCGTCCCCGCGACCAAGCGCCAAACGAAACCCATAGCCAACCATTTTCGTCTTTGACACAAAAAAAAAGCCCTGCTGCATTGTGTGTATATACCCTGTTCCATCAAGGGTCGACTGACTGGCTGTAATGTGCCCCGCCCACAGCCCGTTGACAAGCAAACTGTTGGCCTGGTTAAACGCGTGCAGCCTCCATTGCACCACAACCCCATGCGCGCACATGACCAAATCGTCTCCCCCATTCCCCATGTCGTCTCGATTACATGTCGCAGTGCACATAGCTACATACACATACACACAGACCTGTACCCCTCCACTCTAGCGTTTGCCTTACCATGTATCCCTCCTCGCCCTCGCACATATTCATCACGCCATCAGCAGCCCTCCCCCCTTTGCAGCATCCACCCAGTGCCTCTGAGCGTATGACCGACAGCTTCTCGATTGAATGTGAGACACTCGGTTGGGGGATCCCTCCCCCACTCCACCTGGAATCCTCCGCCTCCACATCGACTCTATCGTTTTCCTTTCTTCTTTTCGCCCATGTTTCAACATGCACTGCTGAGAGGGAGAGGAATCATGCATCACTGTCCAGTTGTTCGTTTCCCAGTGCGTGGTTATGATACGTGCATGTGCGTGTGGATACCAGAATGTATTTGCTGGCTTTTTTCTTTTTCTTTTT